CTATTTGATTCTTTAAATCTGGTTATTGAGAATTAACGCCTTTCAAGTATTTGTGGCTTAACTTGTGTTTTCTCTTGATTAATTTTCTTGCATGACTAAAAGAGACTGAGAAGGCATGTCACGTTATTTCTTTCAAGAACTCATTTGTTTAATCCTCTCAGTTTTTATTCAAAAAATCTTTTCATTCATTTTCTCCCAACCACATGTTGGTCACTTGTATTTAGTCTACTTAAGTCAGCTTAAATACAGTGAATAAAAAAACCATTGGTTCTTTCATTCTTTTTCCGTGAACCATTCCCAAAAAGGTCCTTAAACCTTTTTGTGCCCTTTCCTCAGAAATCTTAATTCCTCCAGTCTTTGGTTCAAAAATTCAACAAAAAGAAGGCTGTAACCATTTCCATTCTCATCAAACTCGCGGAAGTATTGGCGACCGGAAACCCCTTCCAAAGAGCCCTTTTTGACCTATGTGTCGTAGCCTTCTGGGGGATGGCCAGGCTGGTTGAGTTGACCTACAACGATGACAGCGGACCACTCCGAGCCCAAGCTTCACTCTTAACCACAGATGTCAAAAAAGGGTCGGAAGACAGAACTGAGGTCATCCGACTCATCATTCAAGGAGCCAAAACCGCTGGCCCCGGAGAAGAACAGACAATACTCCTGAGAGCATTACCACACATGCTCTGTCCCGTCTTGGCAGTGAACCAAAGACTCTTGGAAGCCGAGAGATACGGCAAGATGGAGGAAGACTGCGACAACTCCCTCTTTGGCTTCACTGAACCCGGCAGCAGACACCAACGCAGCACGTGCCTTGGAAAAAATTTGGGAAGCCTGCAGCTTTGTGGGCGTCTTGGGCCACTCCTTCCGGGTCGGAGGAGCCTCAATCCAGTGTGCCATGGGAATGCCCGTTGAGAAGATTTGCCAGAGAGGGCGCTGGACTTCAGACAGCTACAAACTGTACCTGAGAAGCTTCACGGACAGCAAGGTAGAGTCCACACTCACCCTCATCAACCAGCTGGAGGAGGCTTGGATGGCATGACCATAGATGTTGTTCCTCCCATCTCTTTCCTGCCGCAATACATCCCTAAATGACTCAACAACTCTCATCTAACCCGTGTGTATGGGTCAGCAAGACAGGAACCGCTAGGCTCCCAGCCTCTGGGCTGGGAGAACATGGTCTGGCGGTTGCCCCCACCCCTTTGGGGGTGTCTTGTTTGCTCAGGGGAGAACGGCTTCCGCTCCCGGATCTCTCTCGGCCTCCTCCTCACAACGCCCCTCTCCCAGGGGCTTGTGATCCGGAGGATGCCGACAGGCCCGGCGACAGACAGCTCTAAGACTCACGTCTACAAGATGTCGGGCCCTTCTCCCCCCCTGACCCACACACGGAAGTCTTGGGAAACCTTTTAAGAGTGTAAGCATAATAAGACAAAAGGGGGGTACGCCCTTCGTGTACTTGTCTGAGACGCGATTGCTCTTGGCGCACTATCTCCATCCGGAATGGACCTTCCTGACACCAAAATGAGCACCCATCAGCTTAACCCAATGGTTTGCGTCTGGCCGACCATCTGGTCAGCCCACCTGCGGTGTGACACCTATCCGTGCGGCATCTCAACCGCTTGGTCAGCCCAACCCTTGATTTTTGTTTGACGTCACCTCGACGGCCCGGAGGAGCCAAAAGCACTCTGGTGGTGTATATTCAAAAGAATCCTATCCCGACAGGAGTGAGGTTTGAACTCACGCTCACATAGTGAAACAGCTGGAATGTAGTAGCCTGTCTTGTTGAGAGGGGAATCTCTGGACATGAGGACCAATTCAAAACTGTCGCCTTAAACCACTCGGCCATCCTGTCATAATTTACTTACCTTATGCCTGCCATTCAACATTTCTTTAGTGGGCATACATATAGACAAAACGACTGGGACCCATTTGCACCACATTTTTTTGCGAAACTGTCACATTCGTTGTGTCTACCCACTGCATTGCCTGTTGATATCTGCGGGCCTCTTCTCTCTGCATGATAAGTTTTAGCCGTTGTTAGAATGCGAGCCAGCGAGCCAGATGTTTGAAGCTTCGGTCCCATGTACCAGCAGTGCAATACAACCCAACGTTTCGTGACTCGAGCCAGCAAAACAAGTCTCAACCGTATACTGGAAACCGTCTGGCGCATTCGCAGTAACGATGGGCATAGTGAAAATCTGTATGAGGTACTTTCTTCGACCCCCCACGCGCAGAGGATGTGAACTTGATCCCTCACGAAATTTCAAGAGGAAAGACGAGCCTATACATAGAAGTGCCGGAAATACTAACGACCTTAACTTTTGCAAAGCAACAACGAGCGTCGGGGGACGTTGACGTTCGAACGAGCTCACTCAGCCGACCGTGGAAGACAACCTCAAGACGGCCCTTTCCTACCGTGGGGTGGATCATGAACCTGGTCCTTGCAAGATGTATACTTTGGATCGGCTTCCACCACTTCCTCCTGGCTGATTCATCTCAACAGCAATCGAGCAGACCTGCAAGCCTCCAATTCTCATCCGCTCAGGCCCGCAATTTCTCCGTCCCACGCAAACTACCCCAAATGGATTTCGAGATAGACGCCAGGTTGGCCAAGTGTTTTTGCTACATGTTGAAAGCACTCCAGGACGCGATCTTTGTTGATATGTTTCCTGCATATATAGCTATGCTGGTCTTTTGGATATATCCAAAGGCCCGCACGAGGAAGCCAAGATTTTCTTTTGGTTTATTCCAGCTCACAATGCTCTGGGCGCGAATGAATTGACACTTTGGAGCAACGGCGGACCTGGATGCAGTTCAATGATAGGGGCATTTCAAGAAAATGGTCCGGTAAGCACCCTTTAAAAGAAACGTCATTAAAGAAATGAGAAACTTGCAATTTGGAATCTAACATTTGAAAGGGAAAAATAACCATTAGATCATGTGGGATCCAGGTAGGACCAGCGCGATTAAAAATCCATAGTGAGCTGTTTGCGTTTGAAAAGTATTTACTGACAGTGATTGAGTGTAGAATTCACATCTTTTTTTGGCTTTTGAAGTTCATGGCACACACGTTCCAGTATGCTTTACGTTGACCATCCTATTGGTGTCGGCTACAGCGTGGGCAAGGCGGTGATCGACAATGAGTATCAAGTAGCGGATTATCTTTGCCGGTTTCTTGAGGCTTGGCTCAAGGTAAAGCCATCCTTTTCACTAATCTTGTTGGAGTAGTGTCGTCTCCAGCCGTTCCTAAAACTTGAGTGGTTATGGCAGGTTTTCCCAGAAATGTCTCAGAAAAACTTTTACCGTATGCTACTCCGTCCTTATCTATCTATCCAGTGATAGAAATCAGGAACACAGACCGATCGGCTGATCTGTTTTCGACTCTAAATGTCCTCTTCAACCTAGTGGCCGGAGAGTCATACGCTGGAATGTATTTGTCTTACACCGCCGCAACCATCCACGCCAAAAAACATCAGATCCCATTGCCGCTGAAAGGTCTTCTATTAATTGACGCCGTCTTCTCTGAGTAAACAACCAAACTTTTTTTTTTTTTTTGAAAGTTAACTAATTGATGGACTCATGTGCTTTCCTGCAGTACCCTCCTACAAGAACAAGCACCTCTGTATACGTTTGTTGAGAAAGTATGTTCTGAGATCGACTTGTCTTGGGAACATCTTGAGGTCCATGTTTCTTCTTGCTTACTAGCTCATCCCTTCAAATGATACAGCACCAAAGCACTTTCAAATTCGACGAAAGTTTCATGGCAAAGTTGAACCAAACCGACAAAAGCTGTGGATACTCCCAATACCTTCAAAAGGTTCATTGAATATTCTTCTTATCTGTGAGTTCAAGCTGACAAATTCTCCTCCTACCAATTCCTCCCGGCAGCATTTGGTCTACCCTCCCCGTGGTTTCTTGCCAGATCTCACCCTGGTCAGTTATGAGAAGTGCAAGCTCTAGTCCTAGCTGAGGCTGAAAATAGCGTCCCAAGCTGAAGGCTGATGTTTGAACAGGCAACATCCAGCAAAAATCCTAAGCTGGTGAAACCGCAGTGCAACATAGTAACGATGGTTTGTGACTCTCTGAAAGTGATCCAAGCAGCATACTGAGACTCAACATTGACTCTACCACACACAGATGAACCAACACCTTCCCATCGGGTTTCAAACTTAGTGAGTCAATCAATCCATAAAATGGAAAATTCATCTCCCCAACCAGCAAAGTACTGGACATTTATCATGTGGAGAACCTCTCCAGTAACATCTTGTGGAAGAAAGCATTCGACTACGCCTTGGATCCCTTCCTGACATATTTCGACATGCTAGACGTGAAGGAGGCATTCAACGTTGATGGGGAAAGAAAATGGCATGCTTGTCTACAGTCCAACCAATTGGTCCGTGTTTTGCTTGCCCTAGAGTCCTTGCCCAAGAAGTAAAAATTAACGATCTTTACCCGATCTTTCACATAGCTTTTCCCCAAGGGCGACCAATCTCCTCCCCCAGCGCTTACGGTCTTACCGGACGTCATCAAGAAGAACAAGAGGACCGTCTTGGCGCAGGGAAGCTTAGATGCCGTGCTATTCATGGATGGTACCAAACTCGCTCTACAGTTAGTGAAATTCGTACTTCGAAGACATCCTCTGTCCTGAGCTCATCTACTGATGCATCACAATTTATCCGTAGAAATTTGACCTGGAATGGAGACTTAGGTTTTCAAAAACCTATCGACCAGACGTTTTCGATTGGGGGTAAAGCGATGGGTCGATACGTCAGTAGATTTCTAGTTCTTAACGCACACATCTTGACGTGGACACAGCTCTTTTTTCATTGTTCTGATGATAAGGATCTGTGTTGATTGTAGAACTCTGAGCGTGGTTTGACATACATCGAGGTGGAAGATAGTGGCCACAAGTTACCCCATGACAAGCCAGAAGCAGCTCTACAAATCTTAGACTTTCTTTTGGGCCACTCCAACTCGCCTTCCTCGCCTTAGTTGTTTGACAGCCTCCTTGTGTACATGGGGTGAATGGGGCACTGTTAATGTGTTGTGAAAGAGGCAGTACATAATGAGGAGTGTTTAGGGTTCGCGTTTCTAGAATGTTGTGTTTGTCAAGTATCAGAGAGATTTTGTAAATATTTCTTATTTTAGCTTCTTTTCGTTTCTTGTGATATGGTTGTCCCTTTGAGAGAATGCGCAATGTAAGGGTATTCCCCTCATGCACCCACGCCCTTTGGGCTCGCAAGTATTGATCGGCCCAACCAAGGAATTCATTGAACTCACGACGCAATACATCCTGCTCTAGCGAAAGAGGTGATACCGGTTCCAGACAGATTCTCCCCTGTTTCAGCACGCTCTGGATTTGACGAAGAGGGTTGAAATCAAAAAATACATTACATGGATTCCATGATAGAATCCACGAAGGTGGGCTTTGAAACTTAATATACAAACCAGTTCATTTCTCCGCTTGTGCGGGCAGGATCATATAATCAGATCTCCAGAAAAAATGTGATTTCGAGAAAGACCCAGTTGATATTCTAGAAGTACTCTTGGAAATGATGATACATGGATACATTTTGACCTGAGCTATTTAATCTGGGAGAAGTTTGTATAGTAGACCCTAATAAGATGAGACAAATATTGAAAAAACAAGTTTAGTAAAAAGTAGGTGATGACAGACTGGGGTTTTTGAGGTAACACGCTTACATCTTTATTGAGTTTGACGGCTTTTTTAGCAGCAACGAGAGCGGTTGCACACTCTCTAGCCCTATGCATTGCGAGTGTGGGCTCTAATTTGACGATATCTTTGATCAGAAGGCCGTTTGGATTGAGTTTCAAGATAGAGATCACTAGTTCCATCTCCTGTCGATGAGGCTGCTGTTCCCTGAACTTGAGCGGCAAGGTGACCATGATCTTCTCCGTGAATTTCAAGAGTTGCTTCTGTTGTGTCTTGGAGGCTTGAGTGAAATTCTTGGGTTTAGGACCAGCAATCTTGCTGGATGATGAGGTTGATGATCCGTTATTGTTCCCTCTTTGGTTGGCCGATCGGCTCTGGTTTGGGTTGCTACTGGTCGAGGCTTGGTTGGCCGATCTTGTGGTCATCGAGTGCTCGTTGGTCATGAAGGATTCTTCTTGCTCACTAAGCAGAAATCACATATAATTCATGGTGATTAATGATGAGTAACAGCGTTATCGGAGAGGTGCATATCACCCACTTGCGTTGCGATTTACTCTCCTCTAGCTGTCTTCTGGCTTCCTTCTCCGCCTGTTCCCGTAAGCGTTCCTCTCGTTCGGCCTCTTTACGAGCCTGTGCATCCAGGAAGGATTTGAGCTTAGGTGCTTCATCGAAATCGGTCACGTAAGAGTTCACGCGCAATCCGTAGATGAATGCTGAGAAGGCCTCGTTGAAGCCGTCGAGGTCTTGACAGACAAGATCGAGGTTGGAGAGGTTGATGTGCAAGTCGGTGATGGCATCTGAGAGGTCGACGAAGAGTGGGGCGAGATGTTCGAGATGGGCCCCCGGATCGGCGGCTGGAGTGTTCTCTTGCTGGCTCGACGGTTGAGCAGACTGACGAGGCTCCGAGGAGGGCGGATACGAGCCAGAGAGGGTGTGCGTTCGGAGTGAGTTCCTCGAAACACGCTTCAAGCTGGAGAAGAGACAGAGAAGGTAGATCATCAGCCACCCGAGCAAGCTGGATAATCAGGATGAGTTTGAGTCTTACTGACGGTGTCTTGGGTGCTTTCGCGCGTTGTTGTTCGTTCATCCTATGTGCCAATGGCAATAGTATTTATTGTGTCTAATAGGAAAACTGGGATATCAATGATCATTCCCGTAGTCCCTACTGGCTTGGTCCGATGGGGCATCGGAGCCAGAATATCCGTCAGTCCCCTGCCAGGCCCGGTCCGATTCCTGGGGTATAAGCATACCTGGCTGTACTCTACCCGATATAAGCATCCCTCGCTCTCCTCGTGCCTCTCCACTCGCCAGCAGTCTCAAGCCAACACAACAGCCATCGACCACCTCAACCCATCAAATCACCAATCATCCTCATTTCTCTTTCTTCAGTCCAACGCTGCCCTTCGAGTCCTACAGAAAACACATACAATCAGAACAGTAACATTCGAACATGTAAGCTTTCATATCACCACCATCTGATACAAACCGACTCACATCCCGGCTTACTAATCCTTCCTCTAACCCACATAGGTCATCGGAGCTCTGTCCAGTTTACGCCCCTTTCTTCGGTGCCATGGTAAGATCACACTCCTGAATCCTGTTCCGTTTGACCTGCTCTTCTCATTCGCCTTTTTCTCCCCTCTAGGGCTGCACCGCCGCCATCGTCTTTACGTGTATCGGTGCCTCCTACGGCACCTCAAAGTCGGGCGTCGGGATTAGCGCCATGGGCGTCCTTCGGCCCGATCTGGTACGTCATTCCAACATTTCACAAATCTAAACACTCGATCTTGTTTTCTGATCATATTTTACGTCTGCAAAAAATAACCCTCCGATCGATCCACCGATGCCACTCTGTTAGATGATGAAATGCATTATCCCTGTCGTCATGGCTGGTATTATCGCAGTAAGTTCTTAGACGAAAATGATTAAACCATGCAGGCGGAGCCATAACTCACGTTGCGATATTTCTTACTCCATCTTGGCGAAACTAGATTTGTAAGTTTGAAACGTTCAGCCGACTAGCAGATTCTCAGATCGACAGATACTCATAGATGGATTGGGATCATTCACAGATGGACTTGTCGTTTCCGTCCTGATCTCTGGATCACTGCAATCCCCGATGCCACTCTACCAAGGATTTGTCCAGCTTGGGGCCGGTCTGTCCGTCGGCTTGGCCGGTCTCTCGGCAGGATTTGCCATCGGTATCGTCGGTGACGCAGGTGTCCGTGGCACGGCTCAACAACCCCGCTTGTTTGTTGGGTAAGCAGCACCTTCTCCCTCATCCCAGTGTCCAGCAACCATCTCAGACTGATTATGTCCTCCTTGTTCTATATCTTACACTCAGAATGGTGTTGATTCTCATCTTCGCCGAAGTACTGGGTCTCTATGGGCTGATCGTTGCATTAATCCTCAACACTCGAGGTTCCCAGCACCCACCTGTACGTTGGTTTGGCTTGTCTAACCGGAAGGCGTTCTTCTCGTTCTGACTAACTTGTTTCTCCTTGTAAAATTTAGTGCTAAACTTCACAAGCCCCTCGAAAGCTCTCTTTCCGTTCCCCTTTACATATAGATCGATTAGAAACAATCAGCTCATGTTTAGTTCCCGGAAAGTAGTAGCCTTGAATGTCCTTCATGTACTCGCGCTTCCTGAAGACAGCTTAAAGTTTCTGTTCTTTTTGTTATGTTGTTAATTTTTTTTTCCGTGCCAATTCAAACAAACAAAGAAAAAAAAACCTTCTCATAACAACAAGCCTACTGAACACAAAAAGATAAGAATTTACATCTCTTTCTCTCTCTATGTTTCCCTTTCTCCATTGATGTCTCACTTGTGTTTTAAGAAACCTTTATTCATCCTTATCAATTCTTCTACCTTGTTTTCTCCTTATTTCATTTCTTTGTTCTCACCATTGCGTTGGACCAATCGTTTATTTTGTTAATGATCAAGTTAAAATAAAACCAGTGCGAACCCTCTTTTTCTTATCTTTCTTCTTACCGCAAAGTGCCCATTTGGGGCACCAGGAAATGGCTCCAATGTAGTGGTGGGTGAATGCAATGATCTTGGCGGAAGTCAAATAAGCCTGTAGACAAAAATTCTCCAGATAAGCTGTTTTCCAAGCATACTTGATACTGGGAGAGCATAGATTAATCTGAATCATCTTTCAAAATGGTCAGCAACTCCTATCAACTTCTGTGGTGCTTGAAAAGGTAATTGCCAACAATTTCTCCCATTCAGCTCTTAAGACATTACCATTCAGTGAAACAGACATTGGCAACAAGCATGATAAAACATATATGAATTCAAAACAACAACTGTTTTAACAATGCTATAGGGACATGATATCACCCCTCCCCCATCTCCCCCCAAATAGTTTTCTAACTGAACCCTCTTAACAGAAATTTGGAAGCCTTCCAGGCTTCCCATTTCATTAAGAAACAAAAAAGACTAAGAAAAGACTCAGATTGTCTGACATAAAAAATACAGAAATAAACTTGGACAACAACCCCCCCCCTGATATTTCCCTTGTATTTTACTAGTTGTTCTGCAGAAACAAAAAAGGCTCACATTCCCAAAGGTACATCCAAAGTTTGTGAGGGATTTCGTGGACAAATCCAGACAATTGTTTCTCTGCCAAATTTTAATTTTCCAAGAGGATCAAATGCACATGGCTACTAAGTACATAGATTAGGAGGGGCTTAGGAGATGATATTTTAGGCATAATGGGATTTCCAAAAACCAACAGAGATATCAAAATGATTTTTCGAAGATGTTAGTGAATCATTTAATCAAAACAAACTTCACACATTCATCCTTAAGCGTTGAAAGAGGGGGTATCTACATACACACAGCAGAAATCCAACATTTCTGCCTTTTGTTGTGCATACATACAGTGTGAAAACTGAGATATGTATCATAGGTTAGATTAACAAAAATCTGAACTACATAATTTGCTTGAAACCTGAGAAGAATGAAAAATTGACAAGCTACATCTAGCGTCCATTCTGGCTTCATGGCTATCCATGTCATCCTTCAATCCACAGGATCAATGGATGTTTCAAGACAAAGATATTGAAAAGTACTCTTTTGCCAAAAAACAGAAGCATGCTTCATAGTGTCCTGCTTTCAATTGATGGCCTTAGCTTCAGAACAAGCTCATTGAATGGGAGGCAAGTTCATGATAGATGACTTACAAGCTCAAGTTCCGGAAAATCCTGCTTCAACCAACAACTTGGTCCATATGCTTCAAGTCGATACAAGGAAAAACGGGCCGGAAGGATGTCACAAAGGTTACACAGATAGGTTCACAAGCATGTCAGACGGGAGGAAGAATATGCAATTTGTGGTTTTGCCACCTTTTGTTCTTGTCAAATTTCATGAGAACCGACTCCACAAGACATCATTTTCGATCATCAACTTAATCAAGGCTTGCTATCCGCATAACCGGTACCATCAAGAGAACAAGATAATATCATCGGAAATCCCGCGATGGCGAGCTATCAACCGGTTTTTTTCCCATTCACTGAAGCCGATGACGATGGCCGACTTCTCGACAACACATACTCGGACGGATGGATGGCTAGCTACCGGAATCGACGTCGACGGTGCCGCCCTGAACTGAAGAAAGTGAAGGAACACTGCGATCGATGGATGGAAGACTGGGAAGCAGGCCGGACTCCGAAACTGCCCCAGGACGAACGGGAGCCGGAGCCGTCGAATGGAATGATGGGGGGCCATGATGGTCAGGAGGCCGAGGACGGCGGGGGCTGGACGGTGGTCTCCCGAGGAGGAAAGCACGGCCGCTCGGCAACAGCAACCACCATGACGACGATCTCTAGCCAGCCTCAACAGAAAGCTCGTGGGGCTGATCCATACGCCCAGTCCTCAATGGCCGACAGGGATGCTTCCGCGGCCGTCAAAGTCATGAAACGCAAATTCGCAAAAACCCAGGCTATCAATAATCTCAAATCTAGTGACGAGGAACCTTCGCAAAACTCATTCTACTCCACAAAACGCGCCGACACCCGGAAGAGGAAAAAGCTATTCTGAGCCTCAAGCAACATCGCTGCGCAAGGGTCAGACTAGGGGACTGGACTGTATTCGCTTTCCCAAGATCCTTGTGTACCTTTCAGCTCCTCAAAATAACAGCGCCATCGACCATCCGACCTACCGGCCACCCGTCTCACTTCTTTTTTTCGGACACAAAAATAGATTTATCGACCCTCCATTCTAAGCCGAAGCGTCAAAGACATCTTGTAAATTTTCGACGCCAACTAACGAATCGTCTCATGATCTTCTCAAAAAAAGGGCAAACCATCCTTCAAGCGTGCCTTGATTTGTAGATCGTCGATGGCCGTTGCCCATATGATGATCACCCTGGTGCTAGCTTGAAAACTCAGATCATTAATTCAATCACGGAAAGATAGAAACCTGAAGATGATAATAGAAACAATGTGAAATATTTGAACAGAAGAATTGCCTCGGACAGATTGATAGGGCCATTCTAATGTGATGATCATATACCAATCTTTTTTTCTCAAGATTTTCATAAGCGTTTTTCAATCACTAGTCATTGTCTGATTTCAAAAGGTCCAGCCGTGGGGGTTTGTTTTTTGAGCATGGGACACACCAAAAAGTTAGTGGTGTGGGGTCCTGATCTGGTTGGGTAAATCGTCTTGATGTGGAAAACTTGACAGTATAAAGATGTGGGATTAAGATGCCAGAGCCAGACAAATGTGAATTGATGATCATCACTCTTGAGTCTGAGTTTTTTCTTGTGATGGACTGGATTTGATTGGAGATGAGGAATTGTGACCAGTATAGAGCTACTTGTTCATGTATTGTCCACCAAGCTGAGTAAGGAAAAAAGGGAATTACGAGATGAGGGTTGACCCTTGGCAGTTTTTTTTTTTCAAATGCGTAAATGTGTTTTTTACTCAATCAATTTGTCTGATGATCGCTGTCATTAAATTACTTGTTGGCTTTCAAAAGATGAGTGCTGGTTGTCATTATTGGGTCACTTGAGCGGGGAAGGGCGGGGGGGCACTGCTGTTGGGATCCGAAGCTGATTGATTGGGATCAGTCAATCTTTCACTCGACTTGGGTCAAGTGTTTAAGTTTTTCATGCTGTACATATACAGCTCACTTCGTTTTTTTGTCACAGCTTCATCGTAAGCTGCCCAAACAGTTCCTCATCAGCAGCAAACTCACAACAGCCGCAGTACGAAGTAAAGAGTAGATTGTTCCCGTGGGTTTAGCTCAGCACCTTGGTCAACTGAAATTCTCACAACCAACACCAACTACAGCCATCAACTAAATATATAAACTACCAGACTGGACATACCCCCATCAACCAATCAACACAAGAAACTATCCTCAACAGCCTCCTAATGGCCTACCATCAACCCGTAGACGAGGAACGCGGCGGAAGTAAGCAAAACCCCTTTCAAAAAGAAACAGTCAAGCTTATTCTGAGATGATTTGTTTGTTTCAGCCTGGGGAATGCCCAATCACCAACAAACTGGCCACGACATCCCTCTACGCGATCCACTTCAATCACCTCAAGCATTCGTCCCACCCACCCATGTGATCAATGACCCTTACTATCCATCTCAAAACTACCAACAGAGCGAATACTTGGAGCCCACCGTCTATGGGGGCGGCGGATTGCACGAGGACTACGACTCTTCATCCTGGGTACCCGCCTCTCAACATCCCTCAAGCAATTATGTCAATTCTTCTACATACCTCCAAAAATTTCGCCGTATTTTTTTTAACACTAAATCTACCTGCTTCTCGACTCCTACAGGAATCCTCCATCAGCGGTACCCACACTTATGAACCCAAGATATCATCTGGCTTCGAGCACCCCGTTCCGAGTGATGCACACGAAGACGTCCCACTGATCAGGAACCCGGGTGAATACCATCAAAATAACAACTACACCCCTGGCGGCTTTTCTGCCGAGGTTCCGACCGAAGATAGCTACGTCCGTTACGGCCGCATCCCTCAACGCCAACCTAGGCGTTACAAGACCGTCAAGCGGGTCGAACTCTATCACGGCAATCTCGTCTTGGATTGTAAAGTGCCAACCAAACTACTCGCAATGTGTCCTCGTAAGGACGAACGTGAATTCACTCACATGCGATACACAGCTGCCACTTGTGATGTGCGCCTCAACTTTTTTACCTTACTCTCGACCACTCATTCATATTTAACTCACCTCCTCTCCCATCTTTCGTTTAGCCGAATGACTTCAAAGACGAACGGTATACTCTAAGACAGGTTTTATACGAGCCAGCCCGTCGAACAGAACTGTTTATCGTCATGACTATGTACAATGAGGATGACCAGCTATTCACAAGAACCATGCATGGGGTCATGAGTTGAGTGTTCATTATTGCTTCCCTTCTACGCAATCTTAGTCATCGATAGCTCATCATTCTTTTAATATATTTATAAAATAGAAAATGTTCAACATCTCTGCTCACGTGATCGGTCCAAAACATGGGGTAAAGATGGTTGGAAGAAGGTGGTGGTGTGTATCGTATCTGACGGGCGATCCAAGATCAACTCCCGTACTCTCTCCGTCCTGGCAGCCATGGGAGTTTACCAAGACGGTGTGGCCAAGAATGTTGGTGAGTGGGATCATCGTTCATTTCACAAACTGCGAAGGCAATCACTCTAATATCGAGAAATTCATTATTACTATTATTACCCAGTTAATGACAAGCCAGTGACCGCGCATATCTACGAATACACAACCCAAATCTCTATCGACCCGGACTTGAAATTCAAAGGATCCGAAAAAGGGCTGGTACCCGTTCAGATCCTGTTTTGTCTCAAAGAGAAAAACCAAAAGAAGATCAACTCTCATCGATGGTTTTTCAATGCGTTCGGCCCAATCCTCCAGCCAAACGTTTGTGTCCTCTTGGATGTCGGTACCCAACCGGGAGTATCTTCGATCTATCGACTGTGGAAGAGCTTCGACATCAATTCTAATGTTGGTGGGGCGTGCGGTGAAATCGTTGCCTTGAAGGGCAAGTTCCTCAGAAATCTCTTGAATCCTCTCGTGGCTGCTCAAAACTTTGAGTACAAAATGTCAAGTCAGTCCTAGTCATCTTCTATTCCTGTCTCGGGCAACAACAAAAAAAAACTAATACACTCGTTTGCTTTTTCACCCAAAGATATCCTGGATAAACCATTGGAATCCGTTTTTGGCTACATCACGGTCTTACCAGGAGCCTTCTCGGCCTATCGATATATCGCACTACAGAACGATGCCAAGGGAGAAGGGCCATTGACGCAATACTTCAAGGGAGAAACCTTAGGACATTCCGCGGATGCAGACCTATGGACTAAGAACATGTATCTGGCTGAAGATCGAATCTTGTGTTGGGAGCTCGTCAGCAAACGAAATAGCTCGTGGATCTTACATTATGTCAAAAACTCATTCGCGGTGACCGATGTACCAGACCAGGTATGTGATCAACATCGGTTCCCTTCATATCCAAGATCCCTAGCTTACGGTTATGATCTCTCTTCTATCGCAGGTCCCCGAACTGATCTCACAACGTCGTCGATGGCTGAATGGGTCGTTCTTTGCCGCTATACATTCGACCGTCCACTTTGGTTATCTATATCGGTCCAGTCACTCCTTTCTCCGCAAAGCTGTCTTACATTTCGAAATGGTATACCAGACTGTATGTTATTTGTTTCCCTACTCCAACCCTGATTCAATTTTCCACTAACATCATTTCGTATTCTCTTTAATGCAGTTCAGCATGCTCTTTTCGTGGTTCGGTTTGGCAAATTATTACATTGTCAGTGTTCATCTGTGCAAGTCAAGCATAACTAGATACAAGGTGCTGATGGAAAACAAATTCACAATAGGCATTTGTTATTCTTACTAAATCGATGGAAGATCCGTCATTCAATTTCAACGGCATTCAATACTTTAATGATGTTTTGAGGTATATCTACCTCGGCGTACTCATCATGTGTTTTCTATTAGCCATGGGTAATCGACCTCAGGGGTAAGGGTCCTTTCCTTGCATCCTGCGCGTGATTAATTCCTTATTCACCAACATTGGAATAATCTGGCTTTGCAGCTCCAAAGTGATGTTCACGCTAGCTCTGGTGGTATTTGCATTTATAACGCTCTACATGACAGTCAGTGTTTTATTTTCAATTATCCTCAACTCGAAAGTGGTCTCATGGATAGTACTCAAGTTAGACTGGTTATCCCGCAGTTCGCCGGTGTGTTTATCGCCGTCAAGGGGATCCTGAATGCGGAAGCAGCGATCGTCGCAAGTGGTGGTCACTTCACTGTCGCCGATATCTTCGCAAACAGGATCTTTCGTAACATTGTGCTTTCATTAGTCGCTACTTTTGGCTTGTGGTTGATCGCCTCATTTATGTTTTTTGAGGTCAGCTTAGCGATTAACTCAACAAGAGAACTGTCAGATCTGCGAGCCTATCAAGATATTGACGACAACTTTCTTTATCTCGGTTATGGTTAGCCTTGGCACATGTTCACCTCCTTTGCCCAATACATCTTGATGTCTCCCTCCTTCATCAACGTGATCAACGTCTATGCGTTCTGTAACGTCCACGATGTCAGTTGGGGCACCAAGGGGGACAACAAGGTCGAGACCGATCTCGGGGTCGTCAAGGCGGCTGAGGACGGCAAGACGGGCAAGGTGGACATCACCGTTCCTACGGACGAGAAGGATATCAATGCGGCATACGATGACGCTTGTCATGTGTTGTCTAATAAGCCTCCCCCGGAAAAAGAAACTATCGACGCCGAAACTAAGATGACAGACTCTTACCGTAATATCCGTACCAACGTCGTCTTGGCTTGGGCTTTGATGAATGTACGTCGGATCTCGCTTTTTTCATGTGCAGAAGATTTGCGCTCTGATAATAACAATGTGTTCATTTTATAATTGTCTACAGGGTGCACTAGTGGCTGTAATTTTATCCACAAAAGCCGGCTCCAATATCTCACAAGATGGAGACTCTGCAAAAGTTAATACATACATGGTATGTTTCAGTCATCGTTCTTATTATTATGATGATGCACAAAATTTTCTGCAGGCTTCTAACCAACAGATTTCCGGTATCTTCCTTTTTTTTTATGTACGTTGGATTAATCGATTATTAATCAATCATGAACCAACCAAATCTAGACGTTTTTGTTGTACAGCGTCTTCGGGTTATCGTTTGTTAAGTTTGTTGGAACGACTATGTATCTGGTCCAGTTTATCTTTACAGGTAAAGTTTTTTTTCCCATGCATTCCTCTCTTTATCTGTTCAAAAGACACTTCACTTCAGTTGTCTCTTGCTGATTGTTTTTTTCTTCCCAATTGTTTAATCAAAATCAGGATGATTTGTATTCTCTTGTCTTAATTCTTTTTTTTTTGGGACCCTGCTGGTTTATCTTTTTTTTTTGACAATGTTTTACATTATAAATATCACAATGAAAAAAAGGTATCTAATAATATCCATCACCATTTTCCTCTACTATACAAAACAAGAAACTTCTCTTTATTTTCCATTGGGGGGTTCTCCTTATGTCTTCTTATTGCTTGGTCGTTTTTTCTATTTTTCTGTTCAAGAGGTTTTTTTACTATTTATCTACATCAAGATACATGTATTTGTTTGATGGCTTGAATTGTTCATTTTTTTCAAGAAAAATTTTTTTGAATGGCCCATAGACGTGGTCACATTGTCGGAATCTCATCATCATTATATCCTAGATTATCATGTATAATTTAACTCTCTTCTTCTCCTAATTAGTAGTAAATCAATCTCTCTTTCACTTGGTCATTTGAGCTCCATTGCTAATTAACTTAACCGTGTAGACAAAAACGGCGTCTGCGGTCTGCATGATCAGTAGGAACCGGGGCCAGCTTGATCTTCAAAGATGTAAAATTCACTATGCAGCTGTCTTGCGGACGGCCGCAACGTAAACACAAGCTAGAGGAATAGCGATCTCAAAGTAACATGCTTGGACAAGAGGCAGTTTTGCTACCCATCTTCGGAGCCCACATCGGCACCCCAGTTTACTTGGTTTTCAATTGTCTTGTATATAATCATGGACCCTAACACGTGACATAACTCGTTCATACATACCGGGGCCCGGCCTTGCTCGGAGTCCAGACCTTGAACTGCCACTTTCCTCCACTTCCGTGCGATCCCGACTCGGGAGTGGCCGGAGGCAGAGTCCAATCCTCTCTGCCGCCTTCCCCCACTTCCGAGCAAGTCCGCGTCAGGACGGACCAGTCATGGGATCAGTTTCTGTGTCAGTTGGACGACTAAAAAAATGTGGGGGACTGATTGAGTGTATGACCCAGGGCCATGGGTGTGTATATACGCCTTTTTCAGCTTGTATGTACACCAGATCAAGGGCTGCGATTGGATCTCGGGTGTCTGACTGAGAGAGCATCCCAATATTATCTTGTCACAGCCCGTCCCCGTCTACATATTTATTTTGGAATCCCGTTGGTTGCTTTTGTTGGAATGCTGGGATTAATGCACGCTTGTATGCGCTTCATACGCAGGCTGCAGCGGAAGCAAATGGCCCCGGATGATGGGAGCCGACAGCCGGGGTATGCAGGTCTAAATCGTCCTGCCCCCGGAAATTATGACAATGTCTGATTTGTCTGTAGACTACCGCCGCGACACGTCTCCGGTTCTGCCCCAGGATTGCCCCTGAGAGTTCCATGTGGTGTAAATATGTACTCTCAGCTTCAGCCCCCTGCACCCCATAATTGGTGCTGAGGATCCATTGAATTGAGGCAGATGCTGCCTGTTTCATCAACACATCTTTCCTAGCCTACATAATGCTAAGCTGACAAGTAAGGATGAGGACCGATAGTGTTATACGTCATGGATTGTGGCTTGTATGACGAGCAAAAGTGCTTCCTCAGGCCTCGACCTGCCTCGACAGGTCAGGGCCATCTTGATGATGCTTGTTTGTGAGTAGGTGAGATGAGGTTGTTGATTCGGCCTCGGGATACATGCCATGTACTGAAGCTCTTACTCGGCGAAATACCGAGTTCCTCATCCTTCAAGAGGATTAAAAGATGAGGGACTTTGGTGCAAAGAGCTCCAACAAGATATCCCGACCACCCATCTGACTATACATAGTGGCGCCTCCATCCCTTTTTTGCTTCGGGTTCAATCAGCTGGTGTGGTCACGCAGAACAATCGATTGCCAATCATTATCTATCAGTACATCAATCAGGTTATTCTGGTGTTTTAAAGTCTTATTTCTACATTCCCTTGGGCTACAACAACCCTGGGCTAGTATCACCTATCTAATATTTTATCATACCCGAGATATTCCAGTGCAGGTCACCTGACAAACGCTTTGAACCAGCTTGATCCTTCTAGTGCTGGCAAGCATCCTACCAATCAGCACTGAGAGTGTCCCTTTTCGATCTCTGAAACCCGTCTGATGGACTGGGTATCTTGCTAGACACACTTTCAAACGCATATATACCCTTCAAAGCCGCAGTGAGAAGCTATAAAAAAAGAGCCACCAAGATCTTCTGCAACCGAGTATTTAAATACACACTGACCAATCCTCGGTTCACCCCCACACGAAGAATAAAATGTTTTCTCAACAACCATCCCACCTCTTCCTATACTACCTACTGGCCTTAGCATCAGATATAGCTCCTCTATCGGCTTCTTCTTCTTCAACGCCACGAACGTGTACCAATGTTTACCAGCCTATTAGCACGAGTGGTGATCAAACAGGTGAAGACTTTTTCTCTTTCATCTTCAAGTTTATTGATCAAGCCAGACCTCTTGCATCTACCATGCTGAAAGTACTATGTATCTCCGCCTGCAAATCTAGCAAATCAAATGACCTGTCGGGGTACTGGAAACCCACAAAGATCTTTCATCTGTGATCAGAAGTCATGCGAAGGCTCAACAAGTACGTCATTTATATAACCCAGAGCGTCTTATAACTGCAATTGTCATGGAACTTTTACTGATGAGTGATGTTGGCTCGTTTACCAGCATGCCAGACTTGCGTAGCACAATTGACAAATGTCTCCGTGAACTCGATCGAATGCGCAAAATATTACGTGGATGACAACCGAACAAGTCTGTCTCGCAACCATCCCACACCTTCCATTGAAAAAACAGAGCTTGAATGCTGATTGAGAAAGGAATTTTGAGAAACAGATTGCTGGACATCGGCTGACGAGCAGTTTACCTGCTATGGCAAGTGCACCGGGGCCGCTGGTGAGTGTAATAATCAAGAGCCTCGACACGTCGAAACTTGGCTACGAAAACTAATGTCAAATCTCTTGACTATCTCATCTCAGTTTGCTCGGATTGCAACCTAGATGAACAAACCCCTTCGATTTCCAACTGTTCGGGTGACAGCCCATCAAAACACGGCACCAAAGCCTCGCATGCTTCCGCCGCCAGTGCAAGCAATGCAGGCGTAACAACCTGGCTTGCCTGGGATTGATCATTCTTGACTTATCGTGCTCGATGATCATTCATCTCTTGGGCCCCTGGGTCATCGATTATCGCATTTTGTAAACTAATGTATACCGTCTGACTTTTTTAATGATCAGCGCTGTTGTAATTTCATCATTCCATCCTTGGCTCTCTTTCTTTCTTTCTTTCTTCATTCTTACCTTCCTCGTCTCATCACTTCTTCATTTGCTTTATTCCATTGTTTCTCACTTCATTTTATTAATTTAGCTCATGCATTCACTCGCACATTTCTTCTGTCACTCTTGATCAATCGGACCTGATTTTTGGCAGTTCTGGTTCCTGATCACCGCGATACTCAGTTCCCTCATTCAAGCGTTTTGAATAACCCCAAACAAAATCTGATGACAAGAAAATCAGGGAGAGGGAAAAATCACTGCCAACTTTTGGGAGAACAACGCCCAGAAAGTAGGGAGACGTCAAAAGCCCTGGCTCTCGAAGATCAGCGCGTGCAAGAGCCTGCTACGTTGATGAGAGAAAGGCTTGGGATTTGGAAATACAGAGAAGAAAATACATGAAAATTTCAGGGAAAATTTCAGGGAAGCGCAGGGCGGGAATAAGCAAAAGATGAAAGGAGGGCTAAATCCTTTTTTCATTTATTAGGAAGTAGGAAGAGCGATATGTGGCTCGAGGGCACATACAAAAGAGTTCCTTGAGATGGTTTGATTTTTTTTTCCTGGATGTTCCGGGACTCAAAAAGCTCAGCAAGGTGCGAGGGAAATGATAAGAAATGCTGGTCTGAAATGTGGTGTTTTGAGGAACAAAAGTTGCTTATTTTTGATCTGAAAATCATTAATTGGCCCTAGACTTTATATATATTCCTCGAGGTACGGAACCAATTGTCGACGATATTCCTCTGGCAATTGCTCAAAGCTACAGAAATTAGGGGGTTTTGACTCTCATGGATTAGAGAACTGAGTGGAAACTCATTACCTTTCGTGCAATTGTGCCACTGCCTCGTCAAAACTGGCATCATTGTTTGCGGCTAATTTGGCCTTAGTGAACGCATGTTGGGCTATTCGCAATGCAGCCTCCCATCTGTGTAAGCTTGCCCGTCGATCTTGCCCGTTGTATTGGGCCTGAGAGTCATACAAGAAATTTTTATCAATTGCGTTATCTGTGCATTTTAGAGGAATCCGAAAATACATAGCTTACACGACTCGTTTTGAGGTCTACAAATGCCTCAAGTGCAATGATATATTTAACTCAAGGCCTGTCTGTTGGATGTGGCTCTGTCTACACTGGTCTCCCCAACTGATTTAATACAAGCCGGGCCCACCAATTTGTATACCCCTTGAGTGTATCAGTGGGCCCAGCCAATATGAACTTGGTCTGGCGATAACCCCTTTTGCTGTGAGACTGGCCCAGGACAAACGTATCCTATACCTGATCGCTGTAAAGTAAACCCTTAAACTCTGCCTCTTTCTGTGCCCACGCTACGTGTATTTACTATAAATATGCTCTCCTTTCCCTCCTCATGCTCTCATCACCAAATTATCATCCTACCTTGACACCCATTCACCATTCCCATTATAATCTCACAATCCAAAATGACCTACCATGATAAATGCATTCTATACTTCAAGTTGCAGGAAGAATTAAAAAGTCTTCTTCCAATCATGGTCGTGTTTTCAGCTTTGTGACAGCTAACTGTCTTTTTTTTGCTTGGTTTATATTACAATTAGAAAATCCTCGAGGCGCTGACGGTCAAGTAACATGGGAGAGCGCAAAAACATACCTTGGTTTTAAAGGCTGGTCCTCGATCCCCTTCGAAGATCCTCGAACTTTATACATATCAGACGAAGTTTGCTGTAAAATCTTTCAAGAAATCGACGATTCTGAGTTGACGGTGGCCGGTTTATTAGACTCAATCAACAAGCCCAAAATTGTGGCATGGATAATTTCGGTAGGTCATTAATCGTACCCACAATGGTCTCGAGTTGGAGTGTAGCTAACAGTGTTTGTGTTCCAGGTCACAAAACCCATCTTGCTCCTTTTTGAGGGAAAGATAAATAATAATGCCGAAGGCCACCTCCCAGAAGATGGAGCATCATCAGGGGCTCGGATAGAGTTCACTTACACAGTTCTTGATCTTTGTATGGTTGTTATAGCTCAATCAAATATTGAGGTTCCAACCAAAGACGACGCAGCCCAACTTATGCTGGAGCTCAAGTGTAAGTGGATTAATTCTATTAGTAATAGTGGCAACAAATGGTGTATCTGAGTTGAAGTTACCCAAATCTCGACAGCTGCGCAACAGAAGCACAAATCAAGCGGGTTATCACCCAAAAGTATCTACGGCATCCTGTGCTCGACCGAGACATGGGAGTTCTGGAGCTGCGATATACATGGGACTTGTAGGAGAACCGGAACCCTTCCAACTACTAGGAGGGATGTCGCTATCTCCCTGAAGAATCTTCGGTATCTTTTCGAAATCACCTATCACACTTTTTTCGAAGCATACGTAGTTGCGCTTGAGGCCTTGACAACCCGCAGGAGGTTGCAAGTAAGTTTTGACTGCAAGAATGAATCGTCCCGCATGATAATCCATCGGGACCATGACAACAACAAAAAAAAAAAAAAAAAACTTATGTAATATGTGCATACTACCCATTTGGGCTTGTCAGGACTTGCCAACTTGGCCACCCGGCCGGCGGGTAGGGTACCTTGGAGGTGATGAGTCGATACAAGAACCGGCTCGCTGGGCTAGATTACACCTTGGCAAGCGGGTTTTATCTGCTAGACAAGCTCCCTTTCAAGGGCCCAAGGGAGCAGTTGTCTGCTTTGTGGCTGCTCGCTTGTGAGGGGGCTTCCTTGCCTTGTGGGTAAGATTGCTCCTTGGTCTTGTTCAGGTTCACCAAGGGAGCTTTCTCTCAAGCAAATGGGACAAAGCATATGTACCCACTTTATCGACGGGATCCCCTCTTGGAGAGAGCAAGTAGAAATTGATGGCTCAGGAGAAATCCGCGCTGGACATCTCAGCAAGCAGTTACAATGTGTACCCATTCACCCCGCAGACCCTCTCCTTGGTGAGCAGGCATGTTAAAGTGATGACCGGGGAGTACTCCTCCCCAGTGAGTAGGGTAAGGTTCAACCACAAGGTTATTCATTGTAGATTGACCCATTTCCAAAATCGTCCTTTTCATTTCGGAGTATGGGTGCTTGGGTCAATCTTACTCAACACGACTATCATGCGGGACGTTTCAATTCTCGGTTTTGACTGCTCGGATATTTTTATTCTCAAACAGACAAACGTGGCATGTTGACATCTTTATGAGCCTCAGGTCACGCCCGAACAACAGGTAAAATTGCGCAAATGGCAATCCTCATTAGATTTAGCCACTATTGCATTCAACATGGCAAAAGCTGCAAAAGACAAAGCGGGGTTCGATGATGCTGTTGAGCAATTACGGGAGAGGTGAATTCATCACCATACACATTCATCAACAATTTGTTTTAGCTAATAGGATTCTCTAATCTTTCTAGCTTTGACCTATTGCCTGAGGACCACAAACGAGTAAGCTACGATTACCTGAAAGCATTCAAAATGACTATGGCCAAGTGATCTTTGATGGCCAGAACATCCACTCAGCCTGTTAGCACCAGTCTCAGTTGCCCGTCATATCTGATCTTCCACTGCCGCTTTGTCTTGAGTTCGATTGTAAATGCGTAGATGAAGAAGAAGATGATGATTTTTTCCTTGAAATTAATTGCTGGTCCGAGGGCACAAAAGTCATCGCTATTGCCAATCCAATCAACTTGATATCATTCTGTCTTGGCTGTCTCAGCAAAAACCTGGCAGTCATTGCTCAACAACAGCTTGTATCTATGTTTGAAGATAACTTGCATGCAGCTTGCAACCAACATTCGAAGCTAAGGTAGACAGTGTCTTCAGTGATTAAAGACTCATGTAGCAAAATTACACACACGCTGATGATGAATAATGTTGTCGAATTTGCTATGCGAGAGTTGCATTTTAATACATTTCTTGATCTTGCTGCACACAATCGGCTGGGGTATTGAAAAGCTTCACCTTCAATCTGTGTAAGTGCAAGATCAGTAAGAGGAAGCATATATTCCAGATAATTTAAGCTGTTGGCGGAAATCCGGGATTGATCCATTTGGCATCTTCCTGCACTTTTGCAAGTGGAATCCAACCGGACAGGATACCCGGATCATTTCAAAGGCTTGCTTTGCGAGCTTCCCCAAGACCTATGCAACGAAGTGATTGCTTTGAATTGGCAGGATGGTGGCGTTCAATTCCAACTGCAATTCGTCGACATCTTAATGAGGATGAGAGCTGAAGATTCGCAGATGCGAGAAGGAGGGAGCAGCAGTTTCGATGAGAGTCGAGTTTGATACTCAGTCCACCAAGGAACACTGGAGCCTGAGGTGGATAAGGAGTGAGATCTTCTCAACCCTAGACTCCGAGAGCACACCAAATAGGTTGCATGTCCAGAAAATAAACACAACACTTGGCCCAAAATCATTATTGACTTTGCTCACTAGCTCTGGTTCATTTGTCCATTGCATTTTGCTTGGCCAAGAGACATCAAAGAAATCAACTGCCAGAGGGGCGTGTTTCCCTTAACTTCCAAATGATGGAACCGGGGGCTTTCAAACTGATCAATTGAACAATTATTCGTGCGCATGCATTTGCAGTTATTAGAAAGAAATACTGAGATCACAAAACCATAGTATGATATTTATGGAGATGTCAAAGGGGCCGCTTGAATTGCTTAATAAAAAAGTTGAAATTTTCACTGAGGTGGTTCAGTTGCTTATGAAGCGAGCAACGATTATTAAATATGAAACGGAGCCTCAAGAGTTTGAAGAATCTTCGGTGTCCACTTTGCTAACATCACAACACAGGAGCTATTTTTTATTTATTTTTAATCCAGATCACGATGGTAAAAGGACAGCAGGATGCGGGAAAAAAAGTTGCAAATGTGCCGTAAATCTTACTATCAGGAGACAGCAGTTCATTTCAAGAATCCAAAGATGATGCGCTAAAAAACGAGGGGCTTGAGCAATAGCGACTATTTGCATTGATCACTTGAGTTGTACAAATTTGAAAAGCTTTATCCACCGAGACCCGAATCCAATTAAACAACGCCCGTCAGTCCTCGAACAAAAGCACTAACACCGATCCCATAGTCTACCAATCGATTCAGCTGCGCACAAACTTCTTCTTGGACCGCCAGGAGATGATTGATTGCTGGTAAAATCTTGTGGCGCTCATCGTCCTGGTCGGGTAATCCAAAGATTGACGTTCCCTCGCTTCCTGCCAACCTTGGGCCGTGAACTTTTAAGAAGACGCGCATGATGGCTTGAACCATTTCGAAATCTTGTCCTTCTTTCAGGCGGGTCTCTAATGCTTTGATCAATGACAATAAGTGTTGGATATCGGAAAGTGATCGGATCTCTAGATCCAGGGCGGAGGGGGAAAGGTTTCCAAGATATTCAAAAAACTCTTCATCTGCGTTGTGATTAAAGCATGTTTCGAAATCATCAGCTTACTTTGATCAATGATTTCGACAATATGATCAGAGGTTGTGCTTACATTCACCACTGGCTTCAGACTGGGTCAGTCGTTTTGTAAATTCTACTTCTACCTTCGTGCTATCAAGAAGGTCCAGCTTTCGCTTCTTCTTTTGATCGGCCGGTGCAGAGCTATTGGGGTTCTCCAAACCTTTGCTTGTGACATTAAATCTTGGTTCAGTACCCGCCACAGTGGGTAAGAAAAAGGGAGCTCTTTCGGGCGCTTTGGGTGGTTCTGTCGGTTTATTGCGAGCCTAAGTAAGAAATAAGTATCAGAGTAATCAGTCTTACACGCCTCGACAAAGTGGGCAAGCATTTGCTGAAGCAGAAACTTCGCCCGCACCTTGATGATTTCCAAATTTAGCAATGTTTGCCATTTTGACTTGGGCATACAGGATAGCGTAATTAGTCCTTCTTCTAGGGGCTTTGAGGTGATGTGATCATTGTGAGAATCTGCGCAAGGATCGGAACCCCATGCATCTGGCCTGAGCATCGCTTCAAGTTCCTCGGTCGGCTTGTCCTCGACCCCATCTAGCACTGGTGTTTCGAGCAATGGAATTTCATAGTTTTCGGGTAGACTTTTGTAGCTAAACCCAGAGAATTGGGCTCTATTGACCCACAGGAAGATGCCGACGCTGTCAACGTGTGCAGAGGCTAAAAAGTCTCCACTGGGCGAGAACGTGACTGAAGTTGCGACACTGGTTGTTCGAAATGCATCAATCATCGCGCCTGTTGGCAAATCAAATGTGCGAATGACAGAGTCTGCAGAAGTAGCAACAAGCCAGCGGGAGTCGGCCGTGATGGTCTTCAGAGCAATCCCGAACACAAGTCAACGAGGTTACTCATCTGGACGAACAGAAAGATTGCGCACCATGTCCAATATCGGTTTTGTAAAGCCCTGCAATTGACGAATGACTTCGAATGTGTCTGTATCGAGTATCCGAATCTGATTGTCACGGCAGTTGATTGCTAGCATTCCAGTATCCCTTTGGAGTAGTATGCTAGTCGCACCACTCGGCAGAGTCACAGTTTGTCGAAGAGAGCCCGAAATGAAATCATAAAACTAGAATATGTAAATCAACTTAGTAAGGTGTCGATGCGCGAGCGATCAAGTGAGGAATTTGCCTTACGTGAACGTGGCCTGACCGAGTGGCTACCATGACTAGCTGGTTTAGCGCATCCGTTGCAACTCCAACGACATTCAGTATCATGTCATTTTGTTTGCCCTTGCCAGATGACCCAGGTAGGATAAACTCCCTCCGTTTCATTCCACTTTGCATGTTCCACATTCCGACTTTTCCACTGCCTTGAGTACCTATGAGCCCGTAATTACCACAAGCCGACACACAGACACATTTGGCGATTTCTCCTTGCGGGTCTAGTTGAAACGATTTCTTCTCGATCAGTGAGAACGAGTGTTTGCCAATCCGTTTGTTCTGAACTGACCAAGTCCTTCCTGATGCAGAGCCTTCATGACACGTAAGAAGATCATCCCAATCTTTAGATCTTGAGGTAGAGTGTGACATGTTGGTAATAGGAAGCAAACGTAATGAAGAGACAGGTACGGCAAGTTGAGAGGCTTGTTTGGTTATAGAGCCTTGACTGAGCTCGAAGCTTCGCGAGTCTCGAACAATACTGATCGCTCTGAGGGTCTTGTCTTGTCCAGCGCTCAGTATTGTTTTTCCGTTTGAGCCATAGTAGCGAATCAAATGAGGAGGCCGTTGGTGTCCGCTTCGATGGGTGAGCAAACGAGGAAGCCCAGTTGGGGTTTCAAACAGCCACAGTTTGATGCTGTTATCACCGCTGGCTGTGACAACTACAGGCTGACCGGGTAAGAAGTATACGTTCGATATGCCGGAATCATGTGCTTCCCGTATGATGTGAAGTAATCGGCCGCCCTCATTAAGATTCCAGATGGCCAAGTGGCCTTGTGATGAGCTGGTGACCATCACCTGGGTATCTGATTCTGAGAGAGAGCGAATAAATCAATTGGGGATACTTGCTTCATTAAAAGACATTATATGTATGCCTAACCTGATCGAAAAGTAATACCGGTGATAGAATCCAAAACGGCATTAGTCGAGAGGTTGGAACCATCGGACTGCCCCATCTTGACTGCAAGGATTTCTTCACCAAATTTGACGTCCACCAAACTACACCAGCCATCTGCAAATCCAACGGCGATGATGTCTACGGCCGGAGCTTGAACCATGCGAGTGATTGGGATCTTGTCACTTGAGCACCGGGCTTTCGATGGAGTGGTGAACAAAGCAGGTTGAAAGATATGTATTAATGCACCCGTCTGAATGTTGTAGATTGCCAACTGGCCCTCCTGAGATGCGACGACGATTCGATTCAAATAGGTCGAGGGATGAACTAAGGTGGTGGCCAGACCGAAAGTAGACGGGAGTTCGATTGTAATATGAAGTTCTAAGTGGATTGATTGGATTCAAGTCATCAGTATGTCTTGTCGAGAGCGTGAAACAGAGCGATTGAGATAGAAGACAACCTTTTGTGTCAAGATTCCAAACCCAGAGAGTTTTTCCGCATGATGATAGACCGACAACTTGATTTCCAAACGAGATGAATTCTTGGATTGTGATGTTTTGAGTGCTGACTTTCTTGAACTGATCAATCCAGCATTCGGGTCCAAGATCGGCTTCGTTATCTGAATTGTCGCTCGATGAGTCACCAGACTGAGTTTTTTGGCTTGATGTTTTCAATGTGCCAATGACCCGAGTGCGCTTATAGATGTATATTTGACTCCCAGCTGAAGCCAAAACTAATCCGGAGGTGTGTACATTTAACCAGGTGATGGGCGTAGGTGTGAGGGGCCCTGATCGAGAGATAAACGAGTAGATAGATGGTCAGCATGACTTGACTCTCGAATTCTGATTGGTTGTATCTAAGTATTCGAACTTCATCTCACCAACATATAACAGTCTGAGGCTGTCAGCGCTCCAAAGAGCCCATCCTAAGCCGACACTCGTTAAGATCACCTGAGAGTTGGTTTGTGCTTTGGTTGATCCAAGGACATCGGAATCCTTAGTAGAATGAGAATGAATGACAAATGGAACATCGGTCGTCACGTGGCCAAGCGATCGGAATGGAGCGTAGAGTGAGGTCGACATCAAGATCTTGCTAGTTCGAAGTTGCTACCAAGTAGTACTAGGTGCCACCTTGCCGACCTACTGGCAGAGCTGGCCAAAAATCCAACGCGGGTATCGCTCGACCAACCTGTGGGTCTATCTGCGGGGAAGGGAGGTCAAGCCGTGGACGTCTAGCAGCGGTCATCGCGCAGCCCGCCGCAGCCGCAAGCTGATGCTGATTACATAAACTTTACACGACAACACACAGCAACCCACGAAAGCCGGTACCACCACATTCATCAAACAACTTCCAACATTTCGACTTTCAATTCTCACACATGGCGTTTGTTCGATTGGTTATTTGTGTGGTTGGTATCTATGCTAGTTGTAAGTCTTTTCACTCGCAAGAACTCATTCATCCTTGCTCAGGATTTTAACTGACCATTAGAATATCTTTCCGCTCTCTGCTGCTTGCACCTCAAACCTGTAGTCCTCTCCTGGGCATTGATTCAAGAGAGACGTAAGTAAACCAATCAATATTTGGTTATCAGCAAAATTTAATCAAGATAACTGATCAAACATTTCTCCTGCAACCAGTTTCCACCACTCCGTATGAGGATCCGTCAGGTGGTAAACCTAAATATTTCAAATCGGTTATATTCTTGAATACTATCCAAAGTGGATTCAGTGCTACGGCCGCACTGATCTATCTCCTCTTGAAGAAGAATTCATCCCAATCGATCCTACAAGTACTCGGATTGACAAACCCAACCCCATCTAAAGCCGAGAAAACCCCCAAGCAACCCAATTCAAGACTCGCCCCCAAAGATCAAAACAGATTGGCCTTATTAGGACGTTGTTTACAATGTGCAATCTTGAACTCGCTCGGATCTCCCTTTGGTTACGCTTCACTCAAGCACATCGATTATCCTACTATGATCCTTGGCAAGTCATGTAAACTCGTGCCGGTCATGATTATGAACATCATCTTATATCGACGAAAGTTTGCCATTCACAAATACATCGTCGTCGGGATGGTCACCGTTGGAATTAGCTTGTTCATGCTATTTGCCGATCATGGTTCAAAAGCCAGTAAAGGAGCTCAGCAGAGTAGTCTATTTGGTTTAACCTTATTATTGATCAATCTACTCATCGACGGGGCGACAAATTCCACTCAGGATGAAATCTTCAGTCGATTTACGATCAGTGGCTCCCAGCTGATGTTTATCATGAACGCCTTGGCCACAATCATCACTCTAGCTGCCCTACAAGCACCCCTCCCAACTGCTATCTCCTCATTCTTTGGTACATCAAACAGTTCCGGTAACGAATTTACTGTAGCGATAGAGTTCATCAAATCATACCCAAAAGTCCTTCAAGACATCTTACTCTTCTCTTCAGCCGGAGCGATTGGACAACTATTCATCTTCGAAACTCTCTCCCATTTCGGATCACTCACTCTTGTCACTATCACCGTCACTCGGAAATTATTTACCATGCTGTTGAGCGTGTTTTTCTTCGATCATAAACTTTCATTCGGCCAATGGGGTGGAATCGCTATTGTCTTCGGGGCCATCGGCTTAGAAGCATATGTCAAGATGTCCGGTCATGGTAAAGCTAATTTGATCATCGACGAAAAGCAAAAGGCGAAAATGAAAGAGCTATAATCAAACCGCCAAAGGTGTGCAAACCTTGCATCAATTTCGACTATTCGTCTTCGAGTAACAATTTAGTTGTGGATTTGTTTGTCGCCATCATCTTCGTCTTCTTTCATAGTTCCTCCTTTTCCTTTTGCTCTTCGATTTGATTTCCAATCAGATTTCATCTCGCATAGAGTAGATTCTTCACTTGTAGAGTTTGCATCCTTTTCCTTTTGATCACAAAGCATCGCATATCGCCAGATAAGTAATAGACCCGAATTGGATTTTTCTTGAAAATCTAGATGATGATAACTATGTCTTTTGAACTCGACTGAAAAATTTCGCCTTCAAGATATGTCAACATATGACCTGGGAGAGGAGGCTTCCGATCTGGCACGAAAATTGTTCATGTTGCCGTTTGCGCACCCACCATCACTCTAGATGTTTCTAACTGGTAACATCCTGCAGACTGGCTTCCGCAAGGCTATTCAATACTGCTACTTGGATTGGAATTTTACACAAGACAGAGATGAGATCTGCTATGACCAAGTGCGAGTCTAGATCTTGTTGGACCTATCAACTGTCAACTTTCGCCTTGAGGATAGACTAGTTCTCGCCGCTCCAGTTGGGTTGAGGAGAGATAGCCTTCATTGGCTTCTCCTTATTTAATGTTCGTCCATACCATTGCACGACATGCACTAGAATGATTTTTGCGTAACTCGCTTCTAGTGGAATTTACTCAAGTCTCAACGTTTAAAAAAACTAGGAGTTTGCCATTGCGAAACCTATTCTTGCGCTGAGCTGAATAGATTTGGTGCAATGATATTGATACGATCATAGGCACATATCTCACTCAACTAATTCTCAATCACAGCAACATGCAAACCACTTTTAATGTCTGGATTTTACTTTCAGGATCGAAAGCAGTTACCAACCCGGCCACACAGTTCGATTTCAGATTCAAGGTGGGCTCAAGTGCACCGGTACCGGAGGATGTGGACGACTTGTCTGGGTTGAATTTGTGACCCATTGGTGTGAACTTTCCAGACGTGGAAATTAGTTTCTGGGCATCTTAGCTGTGCACAACCATCTGTTGCCGAGTGCTCCCATCTAAGCTGCAAGTGTTTAATTGCAGTTGTCCAGCCTGGTCACGGTCTAATCTATTACATGTTCTTTCTTGTCGCTCTGGTGAGTCTGCGTGAGACTTGGGCAAGAATTTTTCTCTACAAGCTCATATTGTTAGTTGGATCTAGTTTTCTATCAAAAAAAAAAACAGCCGCTGTTTGCCGCGGTGGACAAGACATTCTTACAACATAATTTTCCGGTTGGAAATGCCCTCCATTCTTGAGACAATTGGAGCCCCACCAGTCTAGTTCATGACTGGAACCAGTATCCAAGCTAACTATTTTCAGTCCAAACTGAAGTCATTCATGCCGGTCTACCAATACGTGTCCAACTGAGCAGCAGCTTGACCTTGGGGCTTCTGCTGCAATCTTGCCATTATAAGAAGCACATCTTGTCGGCCAATCGTACACTCATCCCTTTATCAAACATCACAGCCTCTTTCAATTTCATCGACCTTCCGGAAGGCCTCTTATATCCACTTGGATTTTTCCTTACTTGCACATACACCACTTCAACTCCCTTTTTAAGCAACTCAATTTGATTTGACTCGCCAAATTCAGCCACAAACAAAGCACCACAAGCCCATCACCTTCCACACTCACATCCAAAACCTAATCCACTCCGCCAAGATGCAATTCAACACGCTCCGTCTTTCGCTTTCTGCTGCTCTCTTGAGCGCCACCTCTATCATATCTGCCCCTGCTCCCACCCTTGGCGGTGGTCTAGGCATTGGCGGTGGGATTGGAATTGGAATCGGGTTGGGAGGCGGTTTGGGAGGTGGATATGGTGGAGGCTATGGGGGAGGTTATGGGGGAGGCTACGGTGGAGGTCTAGGCTACGGTGGCGGTCTCGGCTACGGTGGAGGTCTCGGCTACGGTGGAGGTCTCGGCTACGGCGGAGGTCTCGGCTACGGTGGAGGTCTTGGCTACGGGGGTGGTTTAGGATATGGCGGTGGTCTGGGTTATGGGGGAGGCTATGGAGGTGGGCTTGGGTACGGAGGAGGCGTGAGTAAACATTTCCTATAAATCATGATCAAGTCATAGATATGTCCGCTGATATCCCCTTCTCCTATCCTGCAGTACTACTAGCTTGGTTGAGAAACACCAGAAATTTTCAAAGTCAAGGTGTTCTTCGAATGAATGGCTAGTTGGATGTCCCTGCTTTTATCATTCACAACATCCACTCCCTTCACAATTTGTAAACACCATCGCTTAACAAATTTCAACCAGAAATTTAATCTCTTTTTCGGGCTTTCGGATCCTTCTTTGTTTTGTTTTTTTCTTCTTTGGGTTTATCAGATTCTCTTGTTGTATATAATTTTCAAAGAATTCAATCGCAAAAAAATCAAATAATTTTCAAAGAATTCAATCGCAAAAAAATCAAACAAGTCACTTCCGGAGCATTCCCCATGTGGTTAAAAGATCTTTCTTTTTTCAAAGTGTGATCTCCTCATACCTGAGCATCGAGATTGGATTGCCTACGACAGAGCAGCGCATTCTGAACCTATTCACATCACCAATCATATTAATAGTTCTCGGACCTTGGAGATGTTTTTGAATTTCATTGTCTCCAAAGATATAGGCAAATTGATTCTCTTTGGTTTTCATGACTTTGAGTCTCAAAATTATACAAAAGATCTCATTGAACTTGCCAAGCAGGGAGTCCAATAGAGATTCTAATACAAGAGCGAAGAGGATTCATCAAAAATGTTACAAAAAGTAAACAATTGAATCCACAGATAAAGATACTTAAACTCAGGAAAGTGGATCTCAACACAAAAAATATGAATAGTGCAACATTTTCAGGACAATTCAGGATCTGCAACCTTGACTTTTGCGAATTTTTTCCCATCAATCATAAAAACTAAAATCAAGGATTTGACACATTTTTTTTCTTGAATAACTGTAGAACCTGCTTGATTATCAAATAGATTTTGGTCAATTAATGTGCAAAGGAAATGAAAATCAACTAAAATCACCCTAAGCAATCAATAAAATTTTATTAGAAATGATCAATTACTTGTTCAAGGATAGCTTTATTGATGATGAAACTGTGATCAAATTTTCCCCAGATGATGAATTCCTTCAGCTGACAACTACTCATAGTTTTTGGTATTTTAGAAACAAGATGGTGATTGATTGTAATACTTTTATCAATGCTTCTGAGTATTGGTACTGGAAATTGGGATTCAAGTTATTTGGAGGTAAGTTTCTTTTCTTTCTTTTTAGATCTTGTATTCCTTTGGATTTTGAGTTTATAATGAACATGTCTTTTTTTCTCATTGCAAAAAAAAGAACTTAAAAAGTATGATGAATTAATTTTTGGAGGTAAGTTTCTTTTCTTTCTTTTTGGATCATGTATTCCTTTGTATTTTGAGTTTATAATGAACATATCTTTCTTTGTCATCACAAAAAAAAAGAACTTGAAAAGCATGATGAATTATGTAGAGTCTGAGATCAAATTTGCAGTATTACCACAAGAATTATCTCCCAGGATCAACTTTGCAATATTATCACAAGAATTACCTTCCAGGTGAACAAAACAAAATATTTTGATAGGTTCTCTTGGACGGTTTTAAGATAATTATCTATGGATAGGTATTTTTCAATCTTGAAGTTTGAAGACAATTTGAGAGCATTCAGATATCCTTGTCAAAATAGGTTGAAAGAATTCATCATGAGAAGATATGATTGGATTTTTGGTTTAATTTTAAATAATGTAGCTAGATTTTTAGAATCTTGGCTAGAATCTTTTCAGGTTGATCTCCGTGGCCTTCCAAATTTCCTACTTATGGACAGCTAGTCACAAAAAGCAAGGTCTTCTTACAGTTAATGAATTAGTTCTATCTGGAAATATTTTTCAATTTTTCTCATTTGTTGAAGAGCACATCTTAGCAGGAAATACAATATATAAATCAAAGTTTCTTCTAATTATCATTGATCCATAATTTGAAGAGTATCTTAATTTGATTCTTGTCAAATGCAGTTGATTTAGCAAGAATTTATGAAAGTTTTGTCAAAAGGGGCACAAAATTTCCCCATTGTGTCTCACTTAATAATAAATCAATTCTTGGAGAAAATGAGAAGAAGCACTGCAAAAGGGGCTGTATTGGTTACAACCCCCCGCAAGAAGGCTGCCCGGAGGCAACCAATATAAGATCAGTCTCCTTGATCAATTTCATATTGGCCAGGCCCACTGATACATTTTTCCATTGTTCTAATGTAAATGTATTGGTGGGCCAATAAAAAATTGGTCAATGAGACCAATGTTATATCAGTTGCCTATGGGTGACCTTATTGTGGGGGGTTGTAATGTCCCTTTTGCAGTGAAGCTAGCATAATTATATGATGAATACAACCAAACCTTTGAAGTGATTATGAAAGACATTAAAGGTCACCTGTCAATGTCATCATGGTTGAAAACCCAATCAATACTATTTGATCAATCTAGAATGACTGCTTAACATTGGATAGAAGGGAAGACTCAAGGAGAGAGAATGTTTTTCATAATTACTTTTTCAATAATCATCAAGAATGACTCAAACCTAATTGTGGGCAATTCTCTCAGTGGAAACCCAAACATCAAATAGGAATGAAGTTTCCTTCTAGCAAGTTGTCCCTTTTTTCAAAATTTATACTTTTTCCATACACTTATGTATTTTGCACTTCCTAATGACCCTTGAAAACAAAAAAAAAGAAGATCACAGGTTTATTATTTCATGGAGGTTCTTGATCAAAATTCTCAAGTATGCATGTTCCAAGTTGATGATCTTTTGTCTGTTAATGTTGATAATGGCGGACTTCCGGTAGCCATTCACAGGGCTATAATTTACATCCCTGTGAATGGCTACATGAAGTCCACCATAAATGCCACTTAAAATTCTCAACTAACACACTTATCACAAAAATGACCAGTGCACCCCAAAGCCAACATTCCTGTACTGAATGAAGTCCTGCAAATGTTTGTGGCTTACAAGAATGCCTTATGATTCCTCATTTCCAGACTTTGGATCCTCTGTAATCTGAAATCAGTTCATCTTCTTATGTTGGTTAAGTATTTCTCAGCTTGTTTTTCAAAATTTTGAGTTTTTGCAATCTTCAGTCCAGTGGTGGTCTAGATGATTGGTTCAACACCTGTTCAAATTTGGGGTATCTGAGACTGCCAGCTTTGAGTACTTTGAAATCCGTCAGCGATCTTTGATGAGTGATGCCCTACAATCTCCAGCAGCTGGTGCTCATCTGGTGCTCTTATTACCATCCTGATCAGGTCGCTGTAGGCTGTGTTTGAGTTGTGTAACCCTAACCCACAAGTCGGATGGTTCCATCCCCGCCTCTGCTTCCCCAGCCCAAGCCAAGCCAGTCTCAAGTCTGCCCACTCACTCCTTCAACAGTCATACTTGAACCTCCAGGAACCACAGATCACACCATGGCTGCTGTTGCCTCTTCCACTCACCTCCACCTCCATCTCAACCATCTCATCATCAACCATGACAAACAACCACCCACAAACAACAACAACAACAGCAACAAACTCAGTAGCACCAGCAAGCACCACCCAGAACCAACTCAAGCAACCGACCAAGCAAACACTAGAACAACTACAAACCCCAGGACTCAACCCAGTCAGCAACAACTCGGCAAGCTGTGGGAACAGGCACTCCAACAGCCCATCAAGTTCATCAAATCCTCAAACCAACTCAATCTCACTCAGATACCCTACCAACCCATCAACCAACCTCAACCAGCTACTCAGCCAACTCGCCCCTCCAACTCAGCCAACACGAACCCTACCACCACCAGCAACCAATCCAATCTCACTAGCTCATCAGCATCATCATTATCCGAAAAGATCAGTCCCAACTCAAATCCAATCACCCAATCAACGAGCTCCCGACTATCCCAATCGAACTCGTCTGCCTCCTCACAAGTTGCAACCTATTGGATTAGACCCCAGCCTATCGGACCCGGCTTTTATAATACCGGCAATACTTGCTTCCTAAATGCTACTCTCCAAGCCTTGGTTCATACGCCCGCACTGGCCATCGGTCTCATGGACAGAGATGAACATTCTCCAGAGTCATGTAAGCGCCTACATATCATCATCCTCATCCCCCTCCAACCAAAAAGCTCCCATATTTTTTCACTCAAAGATCTAACATATGCCTTAACCCCATTTTCCCTTTCAAAGGCGATTTGGCTCGCGCCAAGAAGTTTTGTGCGCTTTGCCGAATGTATAGACTCGTTAACATGTGCTTCGATAAAGCTTCATATGGGTCTCATGCAATCGAACCTTCACCTATCAACAGAGCTCTCTCGAGTTAGTACTCTCGTTTCATATTCATTCAGGCCGGGGAACGCTGTCAAGGTTTAATGAAAATCAACTTTTTGTGTCATCTGTCCTGTTGTAGAGTTTGCTCCTACTATGAGGGGCGGTCGCCAAGAAGATGCACACGAGTTTTTGAGATTGCTAGTTGAAGCGATGCAGAATGGTGCTCTACAAGGTCGGGCCGAGTAAGTAGATCCCCCTGATCTTCATTCTTCTCGTCACTCCTTGAATTTCGTCGCTTACATCGATCCTTGCTAATCATAGAAAGGCCAAACAAAAGCAGAAAGAATCCACTTTTGTTCATCGGATGTTTGGCGGAAAGCTGAGATCAAGAGTCGTCTGTGAGCATTGTAATACACCAAGCGATACGTTCGATAACTTTTTAGACCTGAGGTATGCTTGTGGCTATTGGATTTGACTGATTCTGAAACCATACTCGGAGAGCTTACCATGGTTCTACTCTAGCCTCGACATCTCTCAAGCCAACAGTGTATCGTCAGCTCTGAAAGCTTACCACAAATTTGATCGTCTGAGAGGTGCAAACCAGTACAAATGCGACAAGTGAGTTTCTGTTTGGGCCTTCCATGGAGGCGTAACATGCTATTTTCCAGGCTCTAATCGGATGATACCACAGATGCAAGTGTTTACGCGATGCCAAGAAGTCCATGTCCGTTTTCTCCGCCCCTCCGATCCTCACCCTACACTTGAAGCGGTTCAACTTCCGAGGCCGAAAGATCAACAAACGAGTGAATTTTGAGGACTCGCTGGATTTGAAGCCAGCGATGAGTAACGAATCTGATATCACCGGTTACAAGCTCTACGCCGTCGTTTGTCATCGCGGCCAATCTAATAAGAGTGGGCACTACTATGCACACGTCAAGGCTTCCAATGGGAAGTGGTATGTTGCGGATGATTCGACCGTCGAGTCGATTTCTGACTCGAGAACAGTCCTGGCAAACGAACATGCATATATTCTGTTTTACGCTCGCGATCGAGAGAGCTTGCTATCTGCTGCAATCGCTGGCAATCGTCAGTCAACATCGACGACAACAAACTCGGATGGTGGCAATCGCGGGTCATTCACCAAGAGGAAGCCTTCGATTTCCGATGATAGACATTCCCAAGTCAACGGAGTAGCTGAAAAGACTGGCAAACATTCAAATCGAACCGAGAATGGACATAAACGCGTAAGGACAGGATCGATTAACAGCCAAGAGTCACCCGCCAAGTCATTCATCGGCCCAGTCATCCCTCGACAATCATTGCCATCCTTCAAGTTCAAGGACACCCATCAAGATGGCTCGGATAGTACACGAGGATCACCAGCCAAGGCCAAGCAAAATCCGGAACAGGATGCTCATCAATCCGGAAGGAGCTCCCTTACCAGATCACCCTCCTCGCACTCCAACTCAAACCACAACTCGAACGATCAGCAGGACCAGCTTTCCGATGATCAAGTCGAGCAACCAATGAACCAGATGAAGAAGAAGAAACGCAACCGTAAACCGAAATCGAAACGTCGCAAAATAGTTAATATCGCCGGAACCCCAGTCAACCAGGTCCCGAGCTTCAAACCTCGTCTGATCACTGGTTAAGGGCTGATGGCCTTCACTCTGCTTTGTTTCCTTAACTTCTATTGGTTACCGGTGTTGAGATTCCTACATCGCCATCTCTCTCATAATTCATCAATACCTAAATATTATATACGTCGAGAGTTGCTCAGCCTTGTTTATGTACATACATATAATGTCTATTTTGCTTCTTTTTTGCGCATTGTGATCTGTCTTTTTTTCCTGCCATGACGGAGTAGGGCAAGGGCTGTCTTCTGAAAAACACGGATCCAGATTGGGATCATTATCATGAGCATACTGTATGCAGATACTTAGTCCGAATCTGTATTATTCATCAAATAGATGATGGTTATTGACTCTGCAAGCTCATATCATCTGCCCTATTTTGCAATAGTGGAAAAACTCTCTCACTTGGTCAGATCACACTGTCATGATCTGGCCTAGCACAATGAGATGATCAGATGTTGTTGCCCTATGGTTTTGGATATTGGCGCTGGTTTTGCTTATCTATGCCTCAATCAGCATTCACACCCATGCCCAACTTGACAAATGGTCCGGATTCCCTGCTGTGAGCGGCATTGGCATGCAGAGTACCCTGTGGGGCTGCCCTCTGGGCCCTCACCAAGAGGCTTTGTTAGGCTTGCACCCATCCCCCCACCATCTCCATTTTTTGCTTCAAATCTCAAATCATCTGTGTGTTGGTCATACCACTTTCTTATCTAATATGTACTATACTCCCCTTGATTCCCCCCAAAAAAAATGTGTTGTATTCATTTGTCCAAACTGACATTCCCAAGCTCTAGCATTGAAGCTTTGTCCAATTCACCTTGTGAAGCTGCATTGGCTGCTTGCCTTCTTGGCACTTATCCACAACTCCTAATCCAGACTCTTGACACCAATTCTGCAGAAGCAACAAGGGCAGAACGGAAGATTCAGCTGGGCTGTTGCTCGTCTCCTGTGTGAGCTTGTTTTGCTCCTTGAATACTGGCTTTTGCTGACTGCATTCACCCATAAAGTAGATTTATCAAGGATCTTTAACATGTCATACTTATCAATTCAATGAAGAGAAGTTCTCAGTAAGAAATTGATCAAGTATGAATTACTTACTGATGATATTTTGATTGATTTGATAAGAAAGCTATGTCAAAGCTTTGTTTGCAAAACATTATATTTTCTTTATCTTTTCATTACCAGAATTGTCAGTTTGTTTTGAAATCAATTCTCTTGATCTTTCTCAGCGGTGAATCTCTTTCCCCCTTTTTCTGTATTCTTGATCCATATACATTTGCTCCTATTTTATCCTTATCTTGTTTGAAAAACAGTACTATTTCCTTTACAAAACTTCTTCCATTTGAGCTCCATTTCAAGATTTTATCTTTAAATAAAGATAAGCCTTCAACTCTTAATATAGACACTATTTCCTCTTGGAAATATTCACAATCATTTAAGAATAGAGGGCCCTAACAATAAGGTTCCTATCTGGAGCCTGAAGCTCTGGTGGTACCCAATGATCAGGTGATAGGTTGGGTCAGGTCACAGATGAATCCAGGAGATAACCTGCTCATAGGCCCAGATTGAAACCTTACATACTTAGGTGTGAAATTCCAGTTCACCATTATATGTTTTTTTCCTCAAAAATGAAATATAAAATCCCAAACTGATGACTGTGGAAAAGAAAATTGGATGAATTTGTATTGCCATTGGCATCTGCAGCCCTCCCAGAATTTGATTCATACCTCTTTTTTTGGCTAATATTTTTTTTTGGAATTTCAATTTCACTTGTACCAGTCTCCTTCTTTTTCTTTCTCAAACATGTTGCTCATTATTAGCCATCTGTTACTCAAGATTGTCTTTTCTTTCCTATTCATTATGCATCATTATGGACCCACAAATTGATCATCATGCATCTAGTTTATTTAATAATTCAAGATAATAAGGAATTAAAACTCACAAGTCCTGCTTATACCTGATCTTGAGCAGGCACTTGGGCCTCTTCTCAGCCTTTCTCCAAGCACCAGGAAAAAAATATGCTCACTAGATGTCAGGTGAAAATCATGCAATATTGATTGCTTCTCCCATGTAGCCCCAGCTCTGTTGTGGACTAACTCCATTGGCCTCCTTTGTGTGCTACAGGGGGCTAAGGCAGAGTTGATCTGGATATGTAATGAATAGTAAGCATACTGGAGTTAGCTTGATGTCACTTGTCATCAAGGGTTCCATGTTTTTTCCTGGTGAAGTGAACTTGAGCTCACTTGAGAAAGCTTGTGATTGAAATAAAGCCACACTTTTTCTCTCCTTCCACTGGCCAGTTTTTCAACAGTGATAGCTCTTATGATCTGGTTGTAATTTTGATTTCAGTCTTGATTTTGGACTTGGAGGGGCTCAAAAATCACTCTGGGTGATGATGGAAAGTCCTCAATTTTAGCATTAAATTAAATAATTTCAACAGCCCCCATAACTCTGCAAAAAATAGATTAGAAATACTTTCAGAATTTGATTCCTAAAACTATGAATGGTACAGGCCCAATTTGTGTTTACAGCCAATCCCAAAAACTTTGTGGTTCTGGGGTGGCTGTATTTCCAAAGATTTTTTTGCACCAAAAACTGTATTGCCTCACAACCTATACAGATGACAGTAAAGGTTACAATTTGGAAGCCAAGGTCTTGGTGCAGGTCCGGATGCCTGCAAAGTACCAGGTGGGGGATGGCAGACCCTCTATGTGATGGGCAGTTCTTGACCAAAAAATGGAGAGGATTAAAATGATCCAAATCCCAACTCAACTCAAAAAATGTGAGAGTTGGGTCCTGTTACCTCAAGTACTGTGGCCATGTGGTGCCATGTGCAGGAGAGAGTGGCACTAAAAAAAGAGGCACAACAGGAGAGAGTAGTGCTAAAAAAAGAGGCACAAAAAATAAATTCTTTGGAAATACAGTGATCAAAAAACTGCAAGCTTTTTGGGATCATCTGTACTTTGCTTCAGTTTCAGCTTATTCCATGAAAAATGTGTGTGCTGCAAGAGAAACTGGATTCCAGATTAAAAGTCTTACAAAAAAGGTCAAAATACCCCTGGATACATACATAAATAAAAGTCTATATTGTGTTGCAAGACAGTCTGGGCACAGTCCAAAGTCCTGCTTGGCCAAGTGCCACTGGGGGTTTGGAATGTTCCCAGAGGGCTTCATCAGGTAGGATAGGCAGAGGGCAGGACTTGGAACTTAGCCAAGTCCCTCTGGGCCCATTTCATCCTGTTGTCCAAGAGGATCATCAACCATGACTCCACCACCAACTTCAATCTGGTTTTCTTTTGTGAGTTTGGTGAGCTTATTTTCTTCTTTTTATTCTTTATTTTTCTTTTGTTTATTTTTAATCCTCATTCTCATTGTATTATTTGCCTCTTACCTTTTTTGTTGGTTTTTACACAGATGTTGGAATCAAACGTCATGGACCTGGATGACGTTGTGGTAAGACCAATCAAAATCACTCACACTCTACAAATACCTTTCTGGACCCATTTCATATCAATTACAGATCATAACAACCCTCAAATCAACATCCTACATATGTAATACACTATTGGCCACCTCTACACAATACATGGACACCTCTATCAGAACCACAAAGGCCAACAACCCATTAGTAACACTCCACATGGATCACCAGCCACATTTGGTAATTAAATAAATACAAATTAGGTATAAAGTGGGAGAAATTCCACCATCCAAGAGGGCCAGACTATTAGGAAAGACCCTTATCCTCCAGCATCTTTGTTTCCCTTCTTTACATATCATGGCAATTTACTACAGTAGCCACTTATGTCATGTTTCTATCCCTGTTGCTTCAGCCTTGTTTCACCCTTGTCACACATGCCATTCCCAAGCCTGTCTCCCAAGCCATGTTGTTGCCTTGTTACATGTACCCTGTGATGATGCCTTGCTCCTTGTTTTCTTATTCCCCCCAAAAGACTTATATGTAGTGCTCTCTTGGCCCTTGCCATTTGTCCCCCATCAGAGTTGTCATTATTGCTCCCTGGTCATTGATTTAGCATTACTTACTTGGAATATATTCAGCATTACAGAATTAAGACATTTCACACAGAATTATTATCCTCATACCTTACCCTTTACAAATCTTACATCTTCATTTAGCCACACCTTTCTTTAAGAGTCCATACTCTTATTTCTTGTTCTTCTTACTCTCCCAGTAACCAGAGAGGCAGCCCTTCAAGCTCTCATCCCTCTCTAAGCTCTATTCCCTCCCAGAGTAGTTCCACAACGTGGATCTTGAATCCAATAAATACCCCCTCCCCATTGATGTGTGAACAGAGAGACAATGAAAGCACTTGGTCAATGCAACCCTTGAGCTATGGGGTGCATTGAATTTTGGCAGGTGTGGCACCCTTGCTTGATTTTGGCCAAGCAAGGGTTTGCTCCAACCCCCCGTTAACTTTGGCATGTGCCAAGAACAGGTTGGGAGGGTGCCACATGCGCTTTAGGATTGGCTAAGCAGGATTTGGGATTGGCCCAGCTCACTTGGCCTTTTTTGGCCAAATTTGGGTGTGTGTCCAGACTGCCTTGCAACAACATAAATGAGACTCAACAAGGTAAGAGTTTGAGAGATATCATCATTATTTCATTGCAGCTGTCTATAATCACCTCCTTGTTTTTAGAATCAATACATCATTCCATTCCCTAGCTGTTGGAATTGTGCCCTCTTTGGTGCTCTATCCGCGCTGACTCTCCACTCCCTCACTCTCCACCTCCATTTCCGCTCCCTCACTCTCCACTCCTGTTTCTGCTCCCATTTCCTCTCTCTCTCACTCTCTGCTCTACTCCTTTTTCCCTTTCCTTCCCTTCTCTCTCTTCTCAATCCTCCTTTCTTCCAATCATTTGCCATCTTCTCAATACTCCCCAATACTCCTAACCACAACTTGAACACAGCAACATGAAAATATCTCAATCTCAAGACCTAACCCACAAGTTGAACATTGGTCAATTGAATCAAATAAATACTTGTGCTCAATCCATTCACCAAAAACCAGCAGCTCCTCTCATTGACAATACTCGATCTTCCCCGCTTTCCTAATCAATAATCACCCCAGCCAATCTGCTTGGCCTCAGCTCCCCTCAACACTCAACTCTATCCAACATTCCAATCCTTGAATTCCCCTTCCACATTTGCCTTGTTTTCTCCTCTCTCATCTATCTTCTCTCACTGTTCTTGCTTGTTGAGAAATCCTATTGATCTCAACATTTATTCAATTCAATAATCCACTCTTCTGATTGCTCCAACCTTATCTCTCAAAATCTTATCTTGGCTATTGCCAATTTGGTGAGAAACTCAAAGCCAAATTGACTCAATCTCATCCTCATCATTTTCTATTGACATGCTTATTTTCTATCTATTCTCATCCTTTTGAAGCTTGTACTACTTGTTCCTCTTTGATCTAATATACCTCAGTCAGTCTGTTCTGATTCCTATCAAATCTAACTATTGTGGTATGCTTCTTTTTCTATTGCTCTTTTTCATATTCTTTTCTCAGTGTCATTTCTTATTGTTCACATTTCCTGATGTTTTTTTGCTTTAGTTTTGGTTCTAGTTTCAATAATAAAACCTGTTTTTCATCACTAGCTACTCATGATGTTGGAGGACTTTCCATCAAATTGGGAGCCCTTGCAGATATGAATTTTGACCCAAAAGTCTAGATTTGTGCAGGGAAACATAACTTTCAAGGCTTCAAATCAATCCTGGGGGCCCCCACCAGATCTTGACGGAAAGTCCCCCGTTCTTTTGCCCAGGAAGCCAGCAAGCCTCCAACCTATCAAAGTCACTTGCAGCTATGGGTCCCAGTGGCTTACCAGAGGGACTTATGTGGTGGACACATTTTTGATATGAGTCTCCAGCACTTTTCCACATGCTTATTCTTATCATAGTATTTTTGTTTTTGTTGACTCTCACCTTCACAATTCCCAAGAATTTGTTGAATGAGATGATTTGTAATGACACAAATGTGTCATGATAAATCTGATCAGAGGAACTGAGAGTAAATCTCACATTATAATTGGCATGAGTCAAGTCACACATCTGAACACATCAGTCAAACCCAATCAGCCAAGCCAGTGATGTCATTCACACCTCGGACCCAACCTGACCCAACAGTTGGGCTCTTGATCAGTCTCACACATTTACAATAGAACCATATCTATCCTTGCTCCAGCTGTGCATATTTACATTGAGATTATGTACAACAGGGGCACCCGCATGATGCCGAGTCGCCGACCATAAGAAAGGGAAGGAGATGGCCCCTGAAAGAAGATAATAAAAGTTACAGTGATCGCCTTCCAATCTGCTATCGTCGTACCGACATACCCGTGTGCACATGCAATACGTCCCGACAGCTCCCGGCGGCCCAGTGGATGCCTTATCGTTCGTTGGTGATACCAAATGATATCATAAATGAATCATCCCTTGGGATTAATAATTGTCGACCTCATCATGAGACCCTCCCACAGTCCCAGACCGACCCCTTGCCATATATAGCTCATGAGTAAGGCAGGGTATACATAAACAGATCAGCTGCTGAGAGTCGAGAAGTTGATTAATGGATAGTATGTAAACCCATTGCGCCCGCGATGCATGCACAACACCCTATTCTCTTTTTACTTTTTTGTGCGTGTATCAATATAGTAATATGATGTATTCCCTTCTCCGTTAAAACCAACAGAATTATAGTGGCATGTGGATGGATCCACTTTGACAGAGAGTACATATAAATGTGTAGAAGGGTAATCCAGACGATTCTAAGGATTGCACGGCTCAAATCTCTCGGCTGATCACATACATGGTTCGCAGAATGTACTAGGCTTTTCTAATTTTATCCTGTATCTGTATTGGGGTTCCTCTTCTTACTGTGGACTCTCAAATATTACTTGTGATCAAGCTGAGGACGAGGAAGAGGAGGTCGGCAATTCATCGAAGTCGACTGGTCGGTAAAGAATGTAAGTAATACTTTGCCCTTATAATATCCTCCTCAATCATCCCACTTACAGCAATCCGACCTGGTTGTCCACTCTGAACACGACCTGGGGCTATTCGGGACCTTTGAGGTGCTGAATATAAATAAGATCCACTCTCGGAAAGGGCGTCACTATAAATATCTAGCGCGCATACCTCCTCACAAGAGCTAGTAGTAATGTTCTCAATAAGGCTGACCTAGGTTGGCCCTAGTCTCGCTTATCTGCTATTCAGCCGGTGCATTCGCCTATTACCTGGACTTGTGTATTGATTCCTTCGAGCATCAATCTCTAATCAACGTTACGCCTTGTTTTGGCAACAGGATGATGCCTTCAGCTCACACTATCCGGTCCGCCATGACAGAGTGGCCGGGTTTCTTGGGTAAAGGCGTCTAGCTGTCGCACTGCATCTTCCAGAACCGAGCCCGTGGTGTGGATTATGTACATGTTTCCTTCAACATAAATCTAATTTATTATTTATGTACACCCTTTTCAGCAGTTTCCTGAAAAATTCTCCCTCAATACTCACAACTTGAACATCGCCTGAGTCTCCCAATACCTAAGCTACTCCCGAGCGGCCTTCTCGAAGGACTTTATTATAGGCGCAACACCACTTCCTTCCATTTCTCTCTTCTTTTCTTTTCTCTTCTTGTGCTTCCACCACCAGTAACACCGCCTCCAGATATATCTGTCCCACATATCTATCACAACTAATCACGATCCTTATCCATCATTCATTATACTCCAACGCTTGTTGATAGCTGGTTGGCTCTCCAAGCTTGTATGTATGTATTGGAATTTTCCTCGCTCTCTCTCTCTCTTCTCTTCTCTTATTTCATACACAAAGATACATACACAAATCTCCTCTGCATCCTTTTTTCCATCCACCCATGCCAGCCAATCTGGTTCAAGCTTAGCTACTCTTAACCCCCACCCTTGGGACTAAGCTGCGTTCGAGCCGCATCTGGTTGCTGACAGAACTCCTTCTTCCCTCTTTTCAGTTCTCGAGGATTAATCGACATCCGCCAATTCACGCTTATAACACCCAGAGGATTAACCATTATTCCAATTTCCTCCACGGTAGATCTCGGCTTGACCGTCGAAATGGCTGATGCCGTCTCGCTGTGTCATCTCCCATCTTCCTTCGACTATTCCGCCCCGTCCTACCCTTCGCACCTCCAACCTGCCACTCTAACTGAGCTGGACACCCGCGGCGAGACGCCAAGCGGATGTAAGCACGCGGAAGTGATACCCTCCTTGGAATTTTTACGCGAGTTGTCCCTATTCCTGTTCCCCCGGCACTGATTCAGCTTACTGACTGGGCTTGCTATCCAATGTAACTCACCCACCCAACCCACAGTTGATGAGAGTAACTGTAGTAGTCAGTCCTCGGTGGAAGAGGCTGGCTTGACTTCCGAGCCTTCAGCGGATATCTCACGCCACACCATTCACGTCATATCTAATTCTCCAGACAGTGGAAGTCAGACCTCGTCGCTTGATTCTTCATCTCCCCAGCCCCTACGATGCATAACAGCTACTCCTCTTACAGCCTCACGAGCAGATTCCTGTGAGATTCCCTCTCATTTGGGCTCACCGGTTGCTCTGACAGATCCCGAGGGGTCTGCCGCTGGCTCGTCTTTCCCCCTATTGTGTTCCTCGCCAATTCAGGAGACTTTCGATCTAACAGCGGAGCGGCCACTAGTGTCCAACCGCCGTTCCCGCTGGCTCAGCACCGGAAATCGCTCACCGGCCATTCAAGAGCTAGGCCTCGAATTTGAGAGCATGGAACATGCGCTATCAACCATGCCGGGCTTTAAAGGCCACCATGCCTCCAAGTCCACCACTACCACCACCGCCACTACCACCACTACAGGGAGTCGTCTGAAGCAGGGCGACCCTTCACTCTCCAGATTGAAGAGCACAATGTTTTCATCTATGAACAAGTCTGAACCAAACCTCGCCAATCCTGAGGGCGGGAGATCGCTTCCAGCCTACGATATCCTCCCCGGCTCTCGAACATCGGGCCATTCTAAAAATCTCCGACCTTCTCAACAGTTGAGCTTGTCCTCAGGAAAAGCTGGCCATACTGACGTGGTAGAAATACCACGCAGCCTTCAATCCGGCAATCACCCGTCGATCCGATCCATCTTCAATCAAACTTCTCGCCGCATCTCTGAATTCACTTCTCGCCTCAATGGTCCCAACCATTCGTCGCAAGGTAGTCTTGCTTCAGGCCCATCTCCGCCAGAGTGCATGCCGCCTGCTCTCAGATCCCCGGTGATCGTTATTGACTCCCAGCACAATGGTACCCAACTCAATCCAGATGACCTTCCGCGCGTCAGTCTGGCGCCATTACAGCGGACACCACATCATCACCAGGAAGAACTTCCGGATATCTCTCAGACCTCACCGCATGCTGATAATCCTCAAGTTTCAAACAAGGTTAAGCGAAGTAATGCTCGTGTCCACTCACCCAACTTTTACCAGTCTCTCAAGTCAAGATGGAAACCGGACTCGCTACCTGCCCAAGACCTTTTTGCGAATATCTCCACAGTACCATCGACATCCAGGAATTCAACAAAGACGTATTCGAACTTTGACAAAATGAAGCTCGAGCATGAGAATCAGGATTTTCTCAGTGAATCCCAAGCCGCCAATACCTCTGATGATTTCCTCAAGGGCAGCTCAGAAGGGAAAGATGCTGGAAGCTCAGCCCATCCTGATTCAGGTCTAACGGGCGAGCTCAGTTTACGGGCCGCCCATGCCACTCCAGCATCTAGATTGCGTGCCTTTTCTACCTCGAGCCACAAATCTGATCTCGCATCCATTCCGCCTGTTCAACCGACAGAAAAGCAGCAGTCCCAAGCAGTGTCAGCCTCCGAAGACAACCCGCCCACCGTGGTGCCTTCTGATGCGGAGCATACTGCTGACGGGGTCATGCCTACTGTATCTACAGTCGGGTCCAACCAACGGAATCCATCGCCCGGTTTTGGTGGCGAAAAATCGGCGGAGGGCATCCCAACGACATGCAGCATTGAAGCCGACGTCCCTAGGATACCTGTGCCACAACCCTTGCTTCAAGACAGTCGTGGATTTGCGAGGCAGCACGCTTTCTCAGAACCTCCCAAAAGGCTTCTGCCAAAATGTTTGTTTTTCTGAAATATGTGACTGATTTACCCGATTGACGCCGGGTTGACAGAGTAACTGAAACTATTCATGATATCTATTTGCAGTGCCCCCAACGGCTACCAAACTAGCCAGGAATGGAGCAGAATGTGAGAATCCGCAACTAAAGACACTGCTGATGCCATCTGCCGAGGAATCGTCACCCATACTCCATGATGGCCCTTCAATGCTAAACGCAGCTCAACCCGGAGCTTCAACCCCGGATCCAAATGACGGCCTCCTGCAATGTTCCGCAGTGTCTACTTCACGTAAGTCTTGGTTTGATTCGCCTTGTTCTTATCAATTTATTTGCATAGGTACTCATTTTGAAATGACTATAAGTAGGCCAAACCCCTATCAATCAAATCAAGGCACCGACGACAGTGGTAGCCAAGCCAGAGTCAATGACCATTGCAGAAGGCTTACATCACAAACACCACCTCAATTTTGCTGCCCGGAGGTCATCTATAAGTATGGTTCTTAAACGGCCCGATTCGTTGGATGCTTCCACCCCAATCATCTTTCAAGGAATCTGGGAGAGGGAGTTGGAAGAAAATGAACGCAAATGGAAGCGGCTCGCGCGTATGAGTAGCAGTCAGTCATCCTCTCGCTACTCAACCGAATCTTACTCCGAAAAGGACAACACAAATCAGACGCACGGCGAACGAGCCCCCTTCATCACTGGGGGATCTCTGAGGCATTCATCGAGTAGAACTTCCCAGCATCTTATAAGACTCGGTCGAAAGTTAAGTCAAAACAAAGCAGACCATCACACTAAAAGCCAATCCCAAAGCGACGTATTGGATCAAGTGTGGGACTCCTTCAAGTGCGAGGCTGAACTGAGTCTCAGTGATATCAACTGTGATAGGTCTATCATTGACGACTCTTCAAGTAGTCCCGGTTGCCCAAACGATCTTCCAGGCCTGCATGAAATCACCTTCAACGACCATTTCGAGCGCGCACATGCTGCTGAAGATTCCGAAAGCCTTGCCCGTCAAGATTCTAAACCTATTGGGTTGGGCTTGTTCCATCCATGTGACCCCCCGATCGGGGCTACTTTTCCCATTCAAGACGAATACTCACCTATCACTAATGCCAAGCTGAAAAAACTTTCCCTATTGTCCACTCGAGCTTCTTGGGGCACCTCAGACGGTTCACGAGAAAGGCGAAGGCGACCTGAAAGTAAAGCTACCGTTGACCTGCCTGACACAAATTACTTTGAGCGCAATCCAACGTCGCTAGATCTGTCGCTCTTGGACGCTTTTCCTGCACCTCCCCGTAGTCATCGATCGAGCCAATCTTCTTCATCATCGCATTCATTGAAGGCTCTCAAATCGACTGACATACCAAAAAAGAACCCAAGAGATGGCGCTAAGACACCTACGGCCCAAGCCCCAGAAGCCACGAACGAGCGACGTTCTCCCGAGCGCAAGGTCGCTTCTTCTGTTCAACGTCAAAAATCAACCGAGGAGAATTCCCGGAAGAGTCCGATATCATTCGTGCTCACCTCCTTCTCTAATCGGCCACGTGCACAAACTTCGGTGCGCTCGCCCGTCCCGCCCCCTTTGAATCTGAATTCTGCCCCTTCATCCAATCCAAATCATCGGCGACGGACCATGACCTCACATATGAGCAACCCCGGTAATAGCGGGACCGAGACAATACCACCTGTACCCTTCTTACATGTTCCCAATACTGCCCCCCTCGCCTCCACTACCGCTATGTCGCATGATCGGGATAAGGCTGCTGGGGGAGCTCTTTCTCCTGATATCACCCGGCCGAACTTGTCGAACGAAATCAAGAGCTCTAAAATTGGCACGGGTGGTCTGACTCCTAAGCGCCCCAGTCTTTTGATCCGACCCAGTCTGCGATCACCACATCGAGCAGGGATTCGGATGGCCCCTTTCCGAAGCGGAGAAACAAGCCTGTCTCCGAAATTACCTGCCGCCTATTCTCCAGGTATCTTGTCTCCTACCGTCCGACCTATTCCTCATTCGATTCAGCAGACCACGAACGGGTTGAATCATTCGATCGAGCAGGCTGGTTACTTTTCTTCCCCACACGCCTCAGTTGGTTCGTCTACGGGAACTGCATCGACAAGCTCAACAGTGCCTTCACCGGCCACGCCCACCTCGTTGGGTATGGCTTACAACAGTCGGATTCCATCTGTACCGATGTATCACGCCTCCAACTTCACTTCAGGCTTGAGATCGCCCATCAAATCCACTCATCCAGATAATCCAAGATACGTGATGATCGACCAGACCCCTAAATATTCTGCGGGGGCGCGTGGACCCCCAGAGACCATCAAAGCCACTCGTGTTTATCGGCCCGAGCTGTTAAACTCTAGCCCCCTGGCCGAGTCGACCGAACAAGTCAGCTATGGGATGGCCCTATAAGCCTGCCTTAGTCTCGAGTTCTTCTTGTTAGTTTTTTTTTTCTTTATCTATCTCTTTCTCCTTGAGTTTGCTTGCCCCTAGCAGTCGAAATCTTGTGATGCAGTTAGTTAGTTCGGCTCTCTTTGCGTCTCACCCTGTACTTATACATCAAGTGTACCCGACCCACGGAAAATCGCATTGATTTCTTTAATTTCTTTATTCCTTTTTTTCCATTCGGTTATATATATCTATATATAACAAATTATAGTTCCAATATAGTGCGCAGTTGAACGTTTTATTTATTTGTTAGTACACACTGGACCTATACGAACAATCACTTGGCTTTCTCTCTTTCTCTTCTCATTTCTCAGTCATATAAATGTTTGTATGTACAGAGGGACATTATTTTTCAACAGTCAGCTTGAAATCCATCAATCTAGCATATAATCATGCTCAATAGTCAACCTGATCTCTTGTGCCAAGCTCGATTTGCCGATGGAAAGTGCATGAGTAATATGGCTAATGGTAGGATGGTTTGTTTTCGAATGGATGCTTGGCGAGCACTGTGAGGATTTTGATGTTGTCAAGAATGATGTGTCTTACATGATAGATGAGGTAGCAGAGATGCGAGGGATGAGTATTGAAGGAGTTGAGTTGAGCCTGGATGCCATTGGTTCTGTAGAGAGTAGTCCTTATGGTCATGCTTGATGGATGTGATGTTGTGGCGCTTGAGTTGCTCGAGTATGTAACATCGATGCATCGATAATTCGACTCCTCGAGCCTCGATGACTACTCATGGCAGTCAAGCTGATGATGACTCTCGATCTGTTGGAGGCTGTCTTGCCGGATCTTGGTAACCGTCTGCTACATATATACACCCTAAAACTAAATACACATAGCAACCAACCATTGAGGAAACTGTCAACTTTTCCTACAGCTCTCCATGTTTCCTGATCTCGGAAACCAACTGGACAACTGATTGTGACTCCGGCCTGCCATATTGAAGGATCGACTTCGAAGTTGCGTTCAAAAACATCCATCATCTCAAACAGAATAACACGATTCCTCTCTTTTCATCTTGGTCTTACCTCTCTCTCAAAATCCCACAAGCAAGCTATGGTCAATCAAGCCCCAAAACACCACCAGCGACCTCGAAGCAGGGTCTCGACCGCTCAAACTCGCTCAACTAGCTATTCATCATCCATCAGAAGCATATCCGAGTCGAGGGGCTGGTTGATCGGCTTCAGTTTTGCTGTGATCGCCATCCTATTCTCTCAAGAGATTTCCGATTATATTCACTCTAACGATCAAAATCACATCCTCAAGCAGTACTCATCACAACGTGCCCCAAACGTATCGGCCTGGAAGGTCGTTCCGATGTCCAACCGAGGAGGCGGCTATGGGGTTATCGCAACAAGACAGATCCTACCTGGTCAGATTGATGAGCTGCTTCTCAATTTGCTCTTATAGTTGTGTTAAACTGACCTTATCGATTTGGGGGTTGACTCGTGATCTGATTACCTCAACAGGAGAACTGATCATGAAAGAAGCACCGCTGGTCAAGATCAAACTCGGCCCAACTACGCTTGGAAGAGCAAGTCGTAAAGTAGAACGAGCCGTCCAAGAGCTCAGCGGAGAAGATCGTAATCGTTTCTTAGGTCTCTCGAACGTTTGGGAAAATCGCAGCGAAATCGGATTAAACAAACATTCAGGGATCTTTCAAGTTGAGTAGCTTTTTACTGATTATCTTGACTATTGCACCCAACAAATATTCATGATGGAAGCTGTTCTTAAAACTCACTGCTTTGTCTCATTAACAATTTGTTGTCTTACTCTAGACAAACAGTATGAGCTCAGGTCGTGGTTATATGTCCATCTTTCCTTCTATCTCTCGTCTAAATCATGCATGTACCGGGGCCGTCAATGCGGTCTATAACTGGAGAGAGAATGAAGGACGAGAGGTAGTACATGTGACAAAAGTAATCGAACCTGAAGAAGAAATCTTTATAACTTACTTTGACTCCAAATTGCCGCGGAATGACAGACAGTTGAGTTTTTTTTTTTTTTGATTTGGTTTGTTGCTGCTCCTTCCCCAACGTCAGATATCGTTGCTTTTCAAGAACAAGAAACGCTCACAAAAACAATTTGCTCTACCTCTCGCCAGATCTTTCCTTCATCAAACTTATGGATTTAATTGTACATGTACGATTTGTTCACTTGATTCACATCGGGTACAAGAGTCGGATCATCGTATCACTCGGATTAACTCTTTGAAGGCAACCCTCAGTGCATGGAGTGCTGGATCCATTGGAGGGGCAGAAGCAGTTCAATTAATTGAAGATGCAATTGATTTGATGACTCAGGAAGGCATGACATATGAGTAAATCAGCTCCCTAGCCCTCATAAGAAAACTCGTCATGTTGATGTTAGGGTTGAATCCGTTCCCTTTTTCATGTAGGTTTGGTCAGTTATACGCTGATGCCGCCCATATTGCGGTGTCGCATTCCGAGTTGAGTAGCATTTTCCGTTTTACTAAACTTTGCTTCAAGTGCAGCTATCGATGAACTCATCGAAATTCTTCAACCAGTTTCCAAAGTGCTCGAAAATATGCCTCGCTTGCAGCCAAGCACTTCAGCATCGAATTAGGCCCAGACAGCGTAGAGGTAGCTGTTGCAAATCAAATCTTCAAGAATCCAACTTCGTCGAATGTCTGGGCAACTCGGCTCCAAGAAACTGTTCGAAAATGAGTCATACTCAAAGGAGGCCACTTGAACCAAAGTGGACATCCTTTTACAAGGGTAGATGGTACTGTTCCATGCAACCTGGCTTGGCTTCGTTCAGAAGTAAAATTCACCAAAAAAAAAATCATCAAGTTCCTACTCCCTTCTACCCTACTTCGGGACTCAGGATCTGCACTTTTCATGCATAAACGATAGTCATAGACAATAAGGATAAGTACCTGCGATACTATTGTAACATTTAATATTTATGTGTACTTCTAGATCTCCAAATTCAAATCGTGAAATAAGACATGTTTCTCGCCTCATGGAATGCTTCACTCTTGAGGGAATTCCCTTTGTTTAGTTTACAACTGATGCACTTTTGGGTGTATACAACAGCAAGTGGTGTTACTGGTTTAGAAAGGAGGGGCACACCCGGCCAGGCAAACCTGAGGCTGAGGTGCTCTCGCCACGGATGCCTCAATTGAGCATCAGCGACCCAACTGTCTCTGAGTGATTCATGCATGGAGCTGCCTTCTTCACGACCTGCGCTGCTTTTTTTGACCAAGTTTCTAGCTACTGGTTGAACTACGGTGTAGATGCATCTGAGGATGTCTAGCTCTTATAATCTCTATGTCCAAACCGGCCTATTCACACCCCCAAGGTCAAACCTGCAATGACCTCAGATGCAAGCTCATAATGTTGCTTGATTCCAAGTTCAGTACGGGCGCATTTACCGTCAATTTTGATATCTTGTTTCTCAAGCAACACACTTGTCTATTCTGAACAAAATGTATCCTGCTAGTATACCCATCGGGAACCAGGTCCAGTGCTGTTCATCACTGACTACGCCGGCATGGCGACGTTGCTTGGTTCCAGGTCACTTTGAACCACCCTCGTTGGAATGCAGATCGCAGAGAGCTTTTCGACGATCAAACAAGTGTTGTTACTCCTCGGTGTTCCAATCCAGCCCGACAAACCGAGCAACATATATGATTGAATGTAAAGCCCAGTCGGTTATTGGACTTGGTTCAACTCCAGAGCGGTCTATCTGATCAATCTATTCTGACCACCCTAAACTTGATATGTATCAGCCAGACCCAGAACTGGAAACCAAGCGATGTCAAGCTATCTAGCGAGCTGGTCGAAAGGATTGGCGACGAAGTATATCGATCTGGGACCAAGAGTCCTGGTCGGTTGTTGAGCGCAACTGATCACACCTGCAAACTCTTCAACCTCTGGTCGTATCCGGATGCCTCAAGGATCTAACTCAAGGCCATCAGCACACGTTATAAGACATGCGCCTGGGGTTCACAATTTTCCTTTCTCCATCCTTCCATTCCTATAGCCTGCTTTCCACCTATTCAATCCTTTCAGATAACTAGATACCACTATCCCTGACGGCCAGCACACCAAAGCTTCAACTTTCTTGCACATTCTTACAAGAAAAACCTGATTGCGCTCCGTACAAGCTCTTAAGCACCAGAGACTCTGCTAGCACCCTATAATCGACTCTCAAATCTTTCAAAGATGCAATTCACTGTCGGTTTACTTTCAATTGTGGCGGCTATCATCGGCGCTCCAGCGGTCACAGCCGTTCCTACCTTTGGACATGGTAGAGGAGTTGTAAGTTTGCATAACTTTGAATAGTCTCATGAATGTACTCACCAGGTTAAAAGGTCATGGCCAATTGCTAAACACATCTCTTTCCTAATAGGGTTTCGGTGGATATGGTGGCGGATATGGTGGCGGATATGGTGGCGGATATGGCGGTGGATATGGCGGTGGATATGGCGGTGGATACGGGGGAGGCTACGGGGCAGGATATGGCGGCTTGGGTGGAGGCTACGGCGGAGGATATGGTGGAGGTTATGGTGGAGGTTATGGTGGAGGTTATGGTGGAGGGTACGGCGGAGGGTATGGTGGAGGGTACGGTGGAGGAGGTGGTGGTGGTCTGGGCTTTGGGGTACGTGTGCTCGTTCGCTATTTTTCCAGCTTGTTTGCAGTTACTGATTATCCTCTTGTTTGTTGTACGGCACTTTTGGATCCTCAGCTCGGTCTTGGTTTAGGCGTCGGCATCGGCATTTAAATTGTTTTGACCTCCCAATTCCGAGCATGCTGGAGTGCTCGAAATCTTTGACGCTCGAACGTTGACCCCTTCTCTTTTCCCTTGGGCAACATTTGATGGATCACATCCGCCTTACCACGTCCATACCGTCGTCGAAAGAACATCAAATCATGTGATTCTTGTATTTAAATACCGTCAACTTCACACCTTTTTTACCATCTAAATTTTGTATTCACATGTCTTTGGGTTTCATTGGGTTTATTTTTTGACTTGTGCTACTTTAATTTTGGGTGTATCGGAATGATTATTGTTATATAACCACTTTCAATCTTTGGCAAGAAAAAGAGCAGAATAAGCTTTATTTGCAGTATAATAACCACCTGGTCATTTCTATCTTCCAAACCGCGGGGGCACACTATCAAGAAGATTATTACCCGCATTGAAAACAGGCTCAGAAGGTGAAAGCGTACATGTTGGTAACATTTGAGCCCAATTTTCATGCCGCAGTGTGTCATGATGATCCCAATCACAGCAATCCCATCAAGTGCACAATGCATTGCTAACTTATTTATAAGTCGCAACCCAAGAAAGACCCCTTCTGAATTTCCCGACCCGCAGAAATACACGTCTGGGTGGTGGCTCATCTGTTGCTCATGGCCTCCTGCTTCGTTGTGCAGCGCACCAAGACGAGCCCTCAAGCGGTAAGATCGCGTTACCACGAGTTTTCTGATTTCGAGTAGGCGTTCAAGAAGGAACATGAAATAACGCCTTATGAGGGACAAGCTACGAAGATCTTGTAGCTTCATGTCAAATAAAGACGAACTAAACTTCAACATTACTTTAAAGCTTTGAGATTCCGATTAATTCAGGTTTTGTTTTTGTTATTCCTTCCCCGACAACCCTATCATTATCTCGGCTCGAACTATTCTGAGAGCTCTTCTCAGGATCAATGAATCTGTGCATGTAGAATCAAATGTTTATCAGTGCAAGCAATTTCTTCGTGCCTCATGAGAAGCTTTGAAATTTCTCACTTACACAACAGTGACCGTTATGTCATCTCGGTATCGTCTTGAATGCGGAGCAGGAATACTAAGAAGTGCTCCCACTTTTTCTCGACTTGCACCTCCAAGAGCATTGCGGATCAGGTGAGTGGCAACGTTTGTGTCTTCAAAAATAAAAGATTGTTGCGAAGAACTTTGAGGATCATGTGCGGTGGGCGTAAAACCTCCGGGAGGGCAGATTACTTCCACTTGATCGGCCGCCGCGACTTGATTCTTAGCCAAGACCCGCTGTTTAGAGGATAAGATCGAGGGATGCTGGCCACCCATTTCGATCCATCTGCCAACTAGCCCGACCACTTCAGCTGTTTCTAGTCTGTCCCACAGACCGTCAGTTGCCAAAACAACGAAAGCTGGCTTATCGGTCTCACTTGGAGTAGGGATTGAGGTTGAGACGACTTCAGGCTTGGCGGTAACATAAGGTGGGGTGAGGTAGTCAATTGGATCACGTCTTGCCCTTCCTGATGGATGGAAGGCTTCATAGAGCTTTTCTTGGATGCCGACTGGCCACTGTGTTGATGGAATGTTTTTGGTCAATATGAGCTATGAATAATTGAAGTACAGATCACATACCTTATAACGTGCATCCCCGAAGGCTCTTGTGGGCTGTAAACCTCCCAGCACCCTACCGCGCCTGATGACATTTTCTCGTTCTTCAGGGGGATGTTCTGATCGCATTCTGAGAAAAATATCAAGTAAGACTCCTCAAGTTGGAGCCACAAAGGATGGAAATGAGCTAACCTTTCAACTTCTCTCGGATTCATGCCTTCTTGATCTTCGCTAAGCAATTGGGCCTTCCATTTCCCTTTACCATTATTGGCTTTCGGATCCCAGACTCCCATGACCGCTCTGGAATCACCAGTGCACGCTACATGTACTCTGAAAACAAAATCCCACAACTAATTACGCTAAGTATATCACAATGATGGGTTCGCAAAGGAAGCGACTTACTTTGATCGGAGAGTATCGATATATGCAAGCAAAGCGCAAGAACCACTTAAGGCTGGCAGCAGAGTTTGTAGGGAGGCTGTTTGTTGTGGGGTAACGTCGGCGCCATAAGCTTTAGGAATACTCTTGTCGCCAGACTTCCGTTGCGCCTCGTATGCCGCCAGCATCTGCAGAGGTCGACCCACAATTTGATTGTCTAGCTTCACGAAGGCGTTTTGAATAGCAAGCTTAACAACATCATCGTCTTGGTCGAGATTGTCAATCACCGTTCGGTTATGTCGATTGTTCCATGTGACGATGTTCCAAATCTTTTCCATTACACCCTTCGGGATTTGAACCTCGCGAGCTCCATCGGTGGCTTTCTTATCAGGATGGGCTTGAGCTAGTTGCTTCGCAAGATAGGCCGTTACGTATTCCGGTTCACTGCGAAAGACGGAGTGTAGTTCTCGGTTGACTGAGGGGAGGAGCTGCTCGGCCAATAGTTTCGAGGTCTGCCAACCAGAATGACCATCAAAAACACCGAAAAAAAGCATATCCTTGGCAGATGGTTTCAAAAGTGATTTGGGATCTGACTCTGACTGATCTCGAGTCATGACAGCACATAACGAGTCATCTTCTATTGGCGCATTTGATGCCACATGATTGGTATCGTATCCTGGCAGTCAAAGCACGATTGATCAGCCAAGCAGCTTGTAGAAAATCATTCAAATGGAAGAACCCACGGTAAACTGGGTTTCCCACTCGATCGACGGAGAAAGTAGTCTCGTATTTCTTCAAGAGTTGATTCACCTCCTGAGTCGATAACATGGTCAAGATTTTCTTTGCACCGGGAGAGCCAGTACTGAATTAAAACGGAAACAATGCATGAAATGAGTCCCATGCTTTTTTTTTTTTTGAAAAACTAGCGACGATGAATGACGATTATGTGTATTTTTTATCATAGCTAATTGTAGGATTGACTAAAGACTCACTATACTCACTGGCTGGCGATCGGGATTTCGAATTGCTCTCTGCTTTGTGCGGCCCCAAATAGAGGGTCATCAACTTTCTTCTGTCTGTTGGATTGAAGCCAGAGGACGGTAGCTCCGATCGAAAAGAAACCAGCAGCAATGAGCGCGATGTCGACAAGTGCCCGCTTTTTGGGTGGTGGCGGAGAGGGATTAGATCCTGAATGGATCAGTCGAGGTTTGACTCGAAGAGAATGCGAGGCGCGGTACGTCCAGTTAGGCGATACTCGTGTCGAAGAGGTGTAGTTGAAGGAGTTGAGTCGGGTTGCTTGACGGGTGATGTTGAGGCTTGTCATGACTAAAGAACCGTTCCAATCGATCGAAGAGACACAGATTAGGACGTGTTTGAGATCCAGCCGTCGTTGGCGAGGGTTAAACTGGAAAGGTCCACTTACTTTTGGTTTGATTACCATTGCCGGTCAGCAGTCAGTCAGCTCAAGCCTCAGAAAGTTGCAGCCGGAGCAATTGGGAAATTTCAGAGCCACGTTCGGGTGCCAAAACGGGGGTCCCGACTACGTCACTGCGTCAGAGCAATTCCTCTGAAGCTCTCCCAAGCAATCTGAAGGCACACAAACCAGTTGTGATGTCTTTTATCCACTGCCAGAGTATCTGCCAAGGATCACACCCTCTGATTCTAGTCTCCTGGAAACATGGGGGTGATCTACAATAAAGAGATAGTACAAATTCTTTCTTTGTTGTCTGTGAAACTATGAGCAGTCACCAAAAATGACAAGATTGAGCTATTCAGCAGATATTCAAACTCAATAAAGCAATCCTTAAAAACTGGAAGAAAGAATTTGTGCCACATTCCTAGCTTGTCTTAAAAAAATTGATGGGGAATCATATTCCTAGTACAAGAAAATAGTACAACACATACTTCCTGAATTTGAAGGAAAACAAAACTTCACTACATTTCTATTCCTCAGCAATAACTCAGGCCAGATATCTGAGAATATTTTCACCAAACTGGGAAATATTCACCATTAGGAGAAAAATATATATATATAAAAAGAATTTCAAATACTATTGGAAGAACAACTCACTCCTATTAATCCTCTTCTTCCCTTTTTCCATTCTCTCATCTTCTAAAATCACATAAAGATTCCCACAAATGAAGCTAAAAATTACATTCCTGAAAATTCTTTTTTACAAAATTCCAAACTAAATTCAAACAAAATAAAATTATAAATTGAATCTGTTGTTGTAGATATTAGATTTTGCAACCTACCTCCTATGAAGATGAGGGTCCAAAATGGATTGTATTTGACCAAAATACAAAAATCTCTTTCTTGAAAGATTCTTTCATGACTGTTTTTTTTTCCTTGTAGCATACTCAGATAGTATTTGGGAAATCATTCTCCTCATCAGCTTTGATCAGTTTGTTAATATTTCTAATATTATTGATTATCTTTTCTTAGTCTCTATAGAATTATTTAACTAAACACACACCAAGAAAGATGACCAAATTCTTGTGCTTGAGAATTTCCTGGGGATAAAGAATGAAAATATAGCTTTCAGACATTAGGAATGAAGAGATAAGAATCAATCAAGCACTCTCTTTCCCCCTTGGCAGAAAGGGTATGTATTAATTGACAAGATTTATAGCTGAGATTTTCATAATCAAAATGAATGGCCTCATACTGATTATGAATAATGTGTGCCAGGGTATAAGACACATTGCTTAAAGTCTGAACAATTAATTTCATGAATAACATGACAAACAGGTAATGAAGGAGAGGAAGACAGCTCCCAAGTAAGTACAACAAGCAAGCAGAACTATCTTAGATAGTGCAAAAAAAATATAAAAAGGAACTGAAGAAAGTTTGATAAAAAGAATTCATGAAATTTCAAAGAGCACCAACAGAGAGCTGGCTGATCATTAAATGTTCCCTTCCTTCCTTTCACTCACCATTGACCCTACCTGATAAAAAAGATAGTTGCAGGAAGTTAAATTTTAGTTGATGTTTGCCCTTAGGCCCAACAACCTTTTCAACTAATCTTCAAGCTGAAAGATCTCACTGTTATCAAAACTTCACCCCTATCTTCAATTCTCTCATTCTTGATGGATATGTCAATTATGCTCCTGCCATCCTCATGTTATATCTTCCTGCTTGAAATTTGAATTTCTCCCTTTGAGCAGATTTGAAAAAAAAATCTGCACTTCCCTGATGTATTGATGTAAGAACTTCAGAGATTGTGTATGCAAGTCTGAGAGTTCTGCCAGGTTCTGCCCTGTGGTGCACATGGCATCCATTTTATCACATTGTACTTAGGTTCAGGTTTTTACAGTTATCACCATATGACTATAAATCCATCTAAGCAGCACAAGATGGATAAGAAACATGTATGAATTGAGGCAAAGTGCCAGTTTCTTAATTAGCCACATTTTGCAGGGGTAGCAGGGGTTATTACCAACACAATGGGTTTCTTTTATATATACAGGATTGTCATAGCAGCCAAGTGTAAATTTTCACAGTCTGTCAGCAATGTGGTTTTTCATTTTTCATTCAGTACAACACCCCCACATCTCCATTTTTTTTTTCAAGAATATTTGGAAACAATCAAGTCCCTTGCTTGGACATTCAGATTTGTGGGCCCTAACTTTTAACCATGGAGCTTCATGATAACAGCTGGGAATTGATCTCAATACTGTGCGGGAGCTGTGTGTAAGTAGTAGAAACCGTAAAATGAAACAGTTGCCATGTGCACAGTAATAATGTCCTTAATTTGTCCAAGCAATATGTAACAGCCAAGAGACATCAGATCAGGACTTGATCAAGCACAATCCCTCTAACACGTTACTGTGAGGGTTGCTGTGTTATGAAAGTTGTGATAGGACTTGCCCAAGGCTAATTTTTTGCAAATCAAACCTTCACAAGAGACCCCTCTGCTTGATAAGCTAGTTGGTCCACTGCCGACATAATTAATCAGATCTTTGAGCTCTCGATGCTCATTTGATCTGCCATGAGGTTTCAAAGAGGTCGAGACCTGTTCAGAATGTCATGGTGGTGTATCCGCTGCATACGCTGAAATAGTATGTCATGTATGATTCTTGGCATCAGCTCCTGGGGTGCTGAATAAATATTTCTGATTCAATTTCAACGACGGGATGAGGATAGGGCCGAAGTTGGTATTTTTAAATCTGAATGTATCCGTGAGTTAAGGGTGAGTGTATGCACGTGTTGGAAGGATTCCTGGGGTGGTGTATCCAGCTGACTGATCATACACAGACTGGAACGTGGTCGACCAAACCATCGGAGTTGGTCACTGGATTCCCCCAGATCCTCCCATTGTATGTATCAGACTGTGCAAATCAAGACACACTGCGTAGGACGTTTTCAGTGATTTTTTTCCAGGTCTTGGCAGCTGTTCAAAGCTCGAAATTCGAACACGTTCCGCTGCTTGTACATAGTTTTCCTTAATGTTACAGGCAAAAATAAGGACGCCGGGTGTTGATTGAGTTGTCAAGATGATCCCAGCTTGTCGATAGCTTGAAATTAGCTTCCTTCCTGGTCATGGCTTTGGCGGTTGAAAATATTTCCATCGGCGGCGGCTGGGTTGAAGCGGACTGCTTGAGCGAGGCGGATTCACAATCGAAGATAACACCCTTCTTTTTTTTGTGCTTTTTTTGATGTCACACTCACAGGGTCAAATGACTCATCAACTGATCCCTGCTAGAGACAGTACCACGTCTCTCAACAGCAGCGAGGTGCATTTAAAGCCCGTTCCGACTGGCCCCAGTGCTTCCCTTCCTTGCTTGTTTCAAGTCGCCATACATTTCAATATCCTCCAGTCCAATATTTTCTACCCGCTCATACCATTCTTACAATCCAGTCTCCACCTATTTTTTCCAGCTAGCTTATTTGTACCATCGAGCAAGCATCGCTTTTATTACTGCCAGTTTTGAGTCATCAGTTATGTCTGCCAATCTCAACTTGCCTCAACAACCCCGCGAGGATGGTCTTCAATCAGCCCTTCCTACTCCGGACCAATCCACTAGAATTTCTCCCGTGAACAAGGCGAACGCGTTACCCCTCTGCTGGGGTCATCGAGGAGTCAGTGACTTGAACTTTCCTCTCTTTCATCCTTTCAATCAACCATTGCAAATTGTAACTAATTTCTAACACATTTCTACGCGTCTGTCTCGAATTACCTACCCCGCAAAACAAACACCTTTGACAGGCATCAGCTACTTTCCCGGAAAACACGCTGTCTTCATTTGAAGCCGCAATCAAGGATGGCGCAGAGGGCATCGAGAGCGGTGAGCTTTTTGTACTGGGCAAGACCAGCGTACCATTCTCTTGATCTGGTCCGAATCCTTGATTACTGACTGTGTACGGTCTCTTCTTGGAATTGTCATATCCCACAGATGTCCACGTTTCCGCCGATGACGTCGTCCTGATGTTTCATGAGTGAGGGATCTACCTTCATGCGCATGTGTCGACCAAGCCTCACATACCCTTGTTGTTTAGCCCATCCCTCGAGCGCACAACCGATGGTGAAGGCATGATTGCCAGCTTGCCGTATGTCGGCGGGATCGATCGCATCCGTACTCTTAAAGCTCCTCATCAAAAGATCCCAACCTTCGACGAGACGATGACCTTGCTGATGTTGAAAGAAAATCAACACGTCGTCTTTAACATTGATTGCAAGGTTTGAAGTTGCCTTTATCACTCCTCAGCCTTTGAGTCCCACTGACTCAAGTCTCTGGGATTCAAAATCTGCAGCCGAACAACGATCCTGAGCGTTTGTTCACACTCATCAAGGCCTCAATTGAGCGATTTGAGGATCATGCTCTCCTCCTCAGCCCTCGTCTCGTACTCGGGCTGTGGCATCCCAAATTCCTGGAACCCTCAGCTCGTCTTCTACCTGGCCTGAGAAAGGCTTATATTGGTAACTCGCCATCGATGGCCAGGAAATACTTTTGGGACGCATGTCAAGGATTCAGCATGAAGTTTTCATGCCTCGTCGGCTGGGAAGGCTTGTCGTTCCGCGAGGATTGCCAAAAGGCAGGCAAAAGCCTTCTCGTTTGGACTGTTAACGATCGACAGGAAATGATCGAAGCTTGCAAGTGGGGCGTCGACGCGATCCTGACTGATAAGACCGCGGATTATCTAGCCCTTCGTCAAGAAATGAAAGGTAGTTTCTTTCTCGATCTTTACTTTCCGACAAGATCGCTAATCTCATTTCGTGCCCACTAGATGACTGGAGCGCTGTCACTGCCGAGACTTCAGCTCTGTTCCCGTACTCATCGATACATTACAATGGACTCGTTTCGTGGCTGTGGGGCAGATTCGAGTCATACTCTCTAGTTAGTCATCTTCAGTATATCTGGTCGCTTCCGTACGTCGGTTAACATCGAGTTGTTCTCCCAACAGTCTCGCTCGGTGGGGCCGTTCCACCCCATGACTACCCAATGACGGTTATGTTATGACCTGGCATCATTTTTGCTTTTACCAATGAGCCTTGCTTTCTGATATCTGTAATCCTAGTAATCCCATTCGCCTTCAATTAACCATATGTTATAAACACATAGTCACTTGAGCTAGCTCCCAGACCATGTACAACTTACATACTTGACCTTTCAGAGGTCTCCTATGCAAATATGAATAAAGATTTCATCCAATGTAGAGATATACTGGTAGCTGAAGTGTATGTGAACAATCTCGCTGGTGCCAGAAGTATTACAAAAATTCAGTGCCTTCTTTGCACCCCAGGTCTCTCTCCCTCGAAGAATTAATCATAATGAAAGGTTTCACTTTTTTTCAAATGAAGTAGACATTGTGACCTTTGCCTTCTGTCTGCTTACTGGAGCTTCACTTGGAATGGAAATGTATCTGATTACATCCACCCCTATACTTCAACTTTACACAAGTGCCCATTCCTGCAAGAAAGTAGCTTGGCATACTCATGTTGGGTTGACCACTGGTGTGAGGCCCTATCTATAACTCTAATTGCTAGCAGCTATATAGTTTACCAAGAGGCAAACTTACTTAAAGCTTAGAGATAAATAGATAAAGGTAAATTCTCTTTTCAAACATTATGAGAACTTATGATGTAATTAGTCTTATATTTTCTTTTAAGTATGTGAAATGTTGAGTATATTTTATATTGCTAAAAAAAGAACAGGAATATCATGATGAGGAGGAAAGAACAACAAAGTGGGAACAATGAAGATCAAGTATACATATGAAATATTGAAAAAGAATGAAATGATAATCCTTGACTACACCCCGGTTGCAGTGCGACGGCGGCTTGTCGGCTGAAACATGTCCGACCATGCCGGAATCCGACAGCGAATTGACGGTGGGGCGAAAAGAGACAGGCAGGTTGGATTGACCCTGACGTTGGCACTGCAGGTCGGATTGACTCCGACGGCATCTGCAATGGGGTCGGATTGACCGCGACGACAGATGAGAGGTCTTTCTGACAGCCTTGTCTGCCATCAATTTTGGTTTGGATTGACCGCGACGGCAGGCGGAAGTGCTTTCTGACAGCCTTGTCTGTCGTAGATTTTGTGTCAGATTGACCTCGATGCCCAACGGCAGGCGGGAGGTCAATCTGACAGCCCTGGCTGCCGTAGATTTTGAGTTGGATTGACCCCGACGGCAAGATAATGGATTGATTTTGCCCGTTTTTTTTTTTTTTTTTTTCTTTTTTTTTTTTTTCACAGATACTACATTTGGGCTCTGCTCTAGATTTAGCAGTACATATATTTACTAGTTACATTGGGGTGCGGCTTGCTACCGATAGAAAAAGATACATTCATGTAGTTTATTTTACTACTTTTGGGGAGGGGGAGATGCGAACCGGGAGAGAAGAGTAAAGTATGTACAGAGTGGAAAATGACTTGGAGGCGATTGTCAATGACTTTTTTGGTGAACAAAGAGACTCCGCTTGCCAATGATCAGGTTTGAGCAGGAGGGGCCGATTGAGAGGGCTGAGGAAGAAGCAATCTGGTCAAAGCATTTTCAACGTCTTGCATGCTAGGCATTACAATGCTGTCATGATCAAGATCCTTGAAGTTCTTTTTTTGAGAGAACAGTGATTTGTCCTTTTCCAGGACCATCTCGGCATGCCTATAGTTGAAGTCAAACAGAACAATATGATTAGCCCTATTGTTCTAGGATGTTGCGAGATGGACTCACTTCTGCTGGAAGGGGAGTGATTTCCATCGAAGATCATCCAATCGTTGATCGATCAACATCCATTGGGTGATAGTCTTGGGATAATGACCAAGATAGTGGGAGACCGTCTCCAATTGAAGATGACTGAATCGAATGTGTTGCCTCCAGGTGATTGAGACCGCCGCCTGAGTGGCTCTCTTGTGCCTTGGCAGGAGATCCTTGATGATCTATAAAAAATACAAACAATGTGATTAGCTTTTGGGTACATCGAGATTTGCAAGAAAGATATCTGACCAGGTTGATCAAATCTTCAATCGGAGGAACCACATCAGTCGGTTGAACTTTTTTGTTTGACAAAATCTGATTAAGAAGCTATAGGCAAATACATGAGATTAGCAGACAACATCAAGTAGTGTGAGAATGAAAATCAAGGCTTACGGTGTCTCTCAACTGTCCTCGAACGTGTTTTACCAAGTTGGCAATTACTTCATCATATTGCGAGTTTGAGTTGAGGTCGCCACCTTCAAATCCTTTTGGATAAAACTTCTCTTTGAATTCAGGGGTTTGCTTGTCGGCCACACCCTACATAGCAAGTTGAGTAAGAGTAAGTCAAAAAGGAGAAACAACGGGTCAAAGTACATACTATAGTTAACCTAAGAAGGGATTTGGTCAGCGAGTCTGAATGCTTGTCAACAGTAGCAGTGTATGCCTCCACGTCTGTCCTTCCAACGAACGATCTTGCTGTTTCGCGGATGAAATCCTGAAGAAGATGGGAATCATCAATCCAACATTGATCAGGAAAGACTGGGAAACAACTTACTTTTAAGAAGTCCCGGACAGCATGATTGGCAGATCCACTCTTTGATGATACAGACTCAAGACTCTGTGAAATTGAGGTGATTGCATAGAAGAGTCTAACAAACCGCTCTTCGGGAGGGCACTGTGCATGGAGCTGATGGTAAGAATAAGTCAGAAACCAAAAAGAAAGAAGAAATGCTTACTTTAGCAGCCTTCATAGCAATTGAAGCAAAGTGATCGTTCAGATGATATAAGCTTTGAAGCTCCTCAATCAGTAAATCGATTGGATCATCTGCATCTGCCATCCGCTCATCTGTCACTTCATTATCTGAAGGATGATTGGTCTGATTGAAGATATTCGCGTGACTGGTATCATGTTGATCATGTTCTGCTGGATTGTTGATGTAGGTGTTGTTGTTATGAGAAGGGCTGGGAGGGTTGTTAAAGATATTCGAAACATCATCCTCTGATTCATAAGTGGTAGACATGGCTTGGAAGAGGAATATGTGGACAATGCGCCCAAGAACAAACTGAGGATGAATGGATTGGAGGGAGAGAGAGAGGAGCGACCGGAGAAGTGAGGTGGAAGAAGACAGATGATTGTGATTGATTGTGATCGCAAACCAAACCCATGACGCAACGATCTGAATCCCTCATGTCAGAAACAGGGACAATTGAGAAGAACGAAAAAACTGATGCGAGCCGTTGAACTTTTTGATGAACAAATGAAAAATCTGTCCAAGTGTCATTTCACCTCAAGATTTTGAATACGTATCAAACATGCGGAGACATGTGTCTGTTGCTTTGGATGAGGGATGTAAGTCTCTTTAATTGGAAAAATGACTTGGAAAAACATGACGGATGACTTACATTTTGAAATCCAATCTAAAAGGCTTCACGGAATTTTCAACTCCAGAAGGCGATTGTTTCCGTTGCGAGATATGTAAAAGTCGGCTCCTCAAAGATAGATCAAAGCATTCAAAGCTGAAGTCCCATCAAGAACAAATGTCGGCCTCCAAGCAGCAATGTGCTCTCTCGCTTACAGCTGACCAAAACGTTACAAATACAACTGTGAATTTGGAGGATGAAGAAGGTCTCAGTCAAGAATTTCATAATGTCTTTTTGGATCGGACTTTTGAGAGGGAGAGAGAAGACGACATACACATGGAGAATGACTCGGATTCAGCTGAACACATCCGGCCTCCGCTAGAAGAATTTGACGAGCCGGCCCCCGCGGAGAACTACTGGGACTCAGAAGACAAATGCGAGCTGGATTGGATTGATATTCTGCCTGAAGATGAAGCTAATCACCATGGCGAAAGAGAACAAAAGAAAGGTGATGAGGAGAAAGAGAAAAAAGGAAAAGACTCACCTTGGTATCCCTTCCGGAACAAACATGTGAGCCAGATCCTTGAGTTACATCCTATGTGATGCTGAATGTGATGCTGACAGATTGCTGGTTTCTGATTCCCAAAAGTATCTTGCCGGATCTTTGATTGTAGGATTCCTACATAAAATTGTATCACGCTCAATCTACCACTACATACGACAGATCCTCCTCATCCTGTGTGATGTCTACCTTCCGGGATATGAGGCCTTGCGAAGAAAAAGAAAGAAAGTACGTGCTTCTGGACGCTACCCTATCAAGAAAAAAAATGCAAGCACGGGGAAGACCTGTTTTGCTCTCTCAGTAGAAGGCATAGTGGCGCAGGTATGGACATTGCTTCATTTATGTGCATTCTCTTCTGTCAGTTTGTAACTCACAGGTGTCCTTTTTTATTTTTTAGGAACTTTCTAATCCCTTAGTTGTACCACATCTAGACTTCTTTCCCATTGATACAAAAGGGAAGAATATATTCAAGTTATCACAATCTAGGAGGCGGCTATCCGGCTTCTCACACAATCAACGTGTTCAAATGTGCTCCTTGAACAACAGGCATTATTACATTTTTGAACCTGTAAAGCTCAAAGAATCACCAACTATTCTGATCCCCATTTTCTTTTACAAAATGGATGATAGATTTTTTTTGAAATGTTTCAAGCCTTCAATATCCTCAAGTAGTGAAAACAAAAATCTAGTCCTTCGTATCCCCTCAAATATCCTGTTTGAAGACTCAAACTTGATAACATTACCTGTGGATGACTTGGATCTGACATACTCAGAAATCAAGACTAAGAGTGGAAAAAAATTATCTGATCTCTGTGGAAATTGCATTGAAGGTTGGCAATACATATTTCATTCATTCTTGGATGGTTTACTTATTGATATTATTCATTTTTTCAATATCTTCCAACCTAAAGAATCCGATGGCAGTCAGGTTACCACAATAAATCTCCCAAATCCCTGGCGGACTAAAGCACACGGTAGGATCATCCGCCACACCCCTATCAACTTGTACTGCAATGATACGTCAGGAAATGTTTCAAAGCAATGGAACAAACACATTTCCTACTATTTCACCTTGTCCGGACTTCCTCCAGTAAACTCCAGACAAGAATTCAATTGCCACTTCTTGTGCACATCAAACACAGCCAGCGCTCTGGAAATGGGGCAGATCATTGTCCCGGAGATGAAGTAAGCATTTACAGCATGTTTATATCTGTTGGGATCTGTGTTGACAATTTTTGTAGCAAAATATCTAGTGAAGGATTTGATGCATATGATGTTAGCCTGTCTGAGGAGGTCTTGGTAATGACCTCAGTATTTTCCTTCCTTGGAGACTCCCCTATGCATGCCGAGGTCACGAGTACTCCGGTTCCTTCAGCTGCTCTCAACCCTTGCCGATTTTGTGTGTTATTGGCTTCAAGCTTACTCAAAAAAGTCACCATGAAGTACTTGCAAGAGTTTCTGCAAATGAGTTCACATGGAACAGAGGTTTGCAAAATTTCTTATATTTTATTTATGTGATGTTGGCTAATTGTGTTTTTGACTTTGTTCAACAGAGCCCTAATAAGCACCGGCATTGGCCTCAAATGATTGAAGACTCAAAAAAATCTGGAATTTGGCAAAGGAGAAAAAGAGTGAAAAAAAATCAGACGAACTTTCAATCAAGTGTGGTGTTCAAGATCAACTTAATCGCCACTTTGCCTCTGAAATATACCAATCTAAAAGACTCAAGAAAAAGCTCAAAAAGAATAAAGAAACGATTCCGGATCACTTAAAGTCAGGAATTCCACAACACATAGTTGATCTAGAGAAAAATGATCCAACAGATTTATTCAACCCATATTCAGAACTTGAAGGTGCTAAGGTTTCTCTTGATATAACCCCTTTCTCTGAAGTAAAAAAACTGATTCTTGTGGTTGTAATTCCAGGATTTGACGGGACAATACATACTCCGGTAGAAATCCTGCATGTCTTCTTGCTTGGTATGGTAAAATATCTTTTTCGCGATTTCATGAATAGCCTCAAACCTACCAAAAAGGATGAACTTATTGGACTATGGCGATCATTCGGAACCGATGCTTTGAACATACCTTCACTCAAACCCGTTGGTCTTGTCAAATACTACTCTAGTTTAATTGGGAAAGATTTTAAAGTCATAGTTCAAGCAGCTCCTTTCTTATTCTTTCAATTCATGGACGGCCCCCGAAAAAACATCTGGCATGCTCTTTGTCATCTGGCACTGCTAGTATTCCAGACTCACATCACAGATATGGATGAATTTTTATCTGAATTGTGTTGAGGTGTCTGATAGTCTGCTACCATGATGTATCACTACATGTCGAACCATGAGCACTACCACCCAACAACCCTGGCAGTCACAAGCATCTGTAGCCTAGTTGGTAAAGGCAGCACTCTAGTATGTGTCTCAGCTTAGCTGAGGTCGTGAGTTTGACTCTCACCAGACACATCTTCATTTTGTCTGTCTCTACAGGTTATGAGCCCAGAGCCTACCTAAGTGTGACCCGCTTACAATAGAGACCGGATGGAGGTGTGAATGCTTACTTGTAAGACCAGACCCCTCTGTAAGCCTGCTCCTTGATCACGGGTTCAATCCCCATCTCGATCACACTTTCTTGGGTTTATCCCACTTCTCACATCATGCAGCAAGGGGGGGTGTTGAGGTGTCTGATAGTCTGCTACCATGATGTATCACTACATGTCGAACCATGAGAACTACCACCCAACAACCCTGGCAGTCACAAGCATCTGTAGCCTAGTTGGTAGGTAAAGGCAGCACTCTAGTATGTGTATCAGCTTAGCTGAGGTCGTGAGTTCGACTCTCACCAGACACATCTTCATTTTGTCTGTCTCTACAAATTGAAGATCCGAATTGACACTTTCCTATACCATATCATCAAATACTCTGCTCAGTGGATTAATAAACCAAAATTTCAAATGTTACTGCATCTTCCGGAATCTATCTGACTCTATGGGCCTGAAACTCTCTTTGCTACCGAGAAGTTTGAAAGTTATAACGGCATTATGCGGAATGCTTTGGTTCACTCAAATCGCCACAGTCCCGGTCAGGATATTGCTATCACCTTTAGCAGTTATCATTCTTTCCGTCAAATCCTCTTGGGAAGTAGCTTTTATGATTCGAAAAAGAAGACACTCACAAAAGCTTCAACTCAAGTAACAGATGTTTTTGCCCTGAATCCCAACATCCAAGCTACTTTTGGCTATAACTATTCTACCTTACATCCAACTGCATCCTATCCATCAATCAGAAAAGAAAATGTTTCAAAAGCGGATATACTTGCGGTTCCTGAAGATCTAAGGAGTCATTATCTTTACCACCACATCCACCAAGTCTCTTTGTTAAATCTGAATGATAAAGAAATTCTTCAGAAGAAGTCCTTTTTTTGGTATGTTTCTCTTTTGCTTTGATTGGAAACCACTGTCAAGTTTAATTTAGGCTGATATTATACATATTTGCAATGGCCTGAACAACAGTTTAATCTCTCCTCAAATCAAGACCTGGACCAGAAAACTGTTGGCCGAATCCGTTCCATCTGGAATGTTCGAAATTCTCCACACCATCCATGTCGATACATTCTTCATGCTGATATACTTAAAAAGTCCAAGACCTTGAATGAGTGGTATCAAATGAAGGAGTTTACCATCACACCACATTGTCTTTTTTTGAATTCAGAGGTACGTACTAGTTTTGTTAGTCATATTTTTTTGCACTAATGGCTTCTATTGATTACATATCCCAAAAATTTCTAGGAAGTTTTAAGTACTTTGAACTTGCAGCATAATTGCCACGATGGCAATTGCAAGCTGACAGAGACAAGGAAAGTAAAGTTGGAAACGAGCAGCAGTGTGGTCATGGTACTCGAGGTCACACACAATGACGATCAACGATTCATCTTAAACTCCTGCTCTTTGCGTGCAATTGATTTTCATCAAGAAACAGCAGGCTTCTCGTCCGATCGTGTTGAACCACTTCAGTGGTTGGATGCTTTACACAAAGGCCTAGGTAAATGGAAGGCAAACAAAAAAAAAGGGAAAACTGTTATCCCCTCCATGGCTTCAATCTTTCAATCCCGAGTCGATCCGTCATTCCTAATTTAGATATGTACATAGATTATACGGAGCAGTGAATTTGTCTTTGATTGATGGTGATGCTAGACTCTGGCACCTCAGTATATGGTGCAATTCTTGGCAATCTGATGTTAGCGGCCATGCTAGCCATTTGATGATAGACCACAAAGTCGTTTCTGTGCTGTAACCAGTCAAAAGATGCATGTTAACCTTTCTGTGAATTCAAGTCACAATACAAAACTTACTCTGCGTTTGGCCTCCTCAACTGCTGCTCCAGTGGCTGAGCTTCTGGGAAAGGCAGCGTTGGTACAATAGATGTGGATTTGGCCAATGACAAAGGGGTGATCGAAGGTATTACCAGGGAAGCCGGTCGGTCTGTCAATCACGAAAGGATGATCGAAGGTATTACCAGGGAAGCCGGTTGGTCTGTCAATCACAAAAGGGTGATCGAAGGTATTACCAGGGAAGCCAGTTGGCCTGTCGATCACGAAAGGGTGATCAAAGGTATTTCCTGGGAAGCCCGCCGGCAATTGTCGAGGTGCGCTAGTGGTTTGAGTGGGCCGGGTGTTCATTGTTGTTGTCTAGTTTTGGTTGGTCGGTGATGATTAGCCCGAGTCACCAACAGACTTCGACCTGTGGGTTCAGCTTTGTCAGTCCGATCACCGAGTTGTCTCGGTTAGTGGCCTTGATGACACTGAAGACCAGGTCGGACGAGTCCAACTGGCCAGCAAGGGCGGCTGACTGACCCGTCTGCTAGGCTTGTCAGACCTGTCGGCTTATTTATTTACGCTGCCGACACTCGAACAAACTTTTGGGCAAGCCTACACTGCTGCCTGAGGCGTCAGGACTGTCGGTCCAATCCTTGCGCCAAGCCGTCCATGCCGACTGGTGCATCGGCATAGTCAGATTGCCCTCCCTGTCGGGAAAAGGAGTCCGACGGCAAATGGGCCAAGTCGGTCAGGTCAGTCCGACGCACTGAAAAACTCGACGTCAGTTCAGGCGGGCCGACACAAATCCAACATCGGGAGCAATCCAACGTCCGACACCTTTTACAAGTGGAGCCGGGGTGTATGTACATCATACATAAATTGAATCATGACAACATAAAGAGAATGTGCATAAATATCAAATAAATACCCAGATCAAATTGATAACAAAAGCCTAGAAACCTAAAGATTTCACTCAGTTGACTACTATTGTTACAACTGGGCAGTGGGACCTGTTGCAAGTGTAAATGAAGAATCTTCCAAATATGCAATTTATTGTTTGAACTTGATAACTTTGGCCATGTATATGGAGGTCTGCCCCTGAGAAATTTGTGATGCAAAGTGGCTTAAAGAATAGTTTGGACTTTATTCTTTCCAACAATACCATTTTTACGACTTTATTCTAAGAATTAAGACACCAATACTAGAACATCAAAAAAAGTTTGACCAGGTATTTGGAGGTCTTCCTGTGGGAAAGCTGCAATGCAAAGTGGCTTAGAAAATAGTTTGGAGTTTATTCTTTCCACAAATACTGAGTTTACATTTTTAGTGCAAGAATTGAGACACCCACCTCAGATGATAAAAAAAACTTTGGCCAGGTATATGGAGGTCTTCCTCTGAGAAAGTTGTGATGCAAAGTTGCTTAAAAAAACGTTTGGACTTTATTCTTTCCAACAAGACCATGTACTACATTTTTAGTGTGAGAATTGAGACACCCACATCAGATGATCAAAAAAACCTTTGGCTGGGTAATTGGAGCAACGCTGCCACCGATACGAGACGAGTATCGGTATTTGGGGGTATCTGGATTTGATACCCCCCAATATCTTGGATTGGTATTGAAGGCTCCAGCTCTGCGAGTCACAGTATGGGCAAATCATTGAAAATGCCCAAATGATCTCACAACGATACCATTCTCCCCTTCTTTTTCAATCATTTAACGTGACATCTAAATAGTCAAACTGTCACAAAAGTATGTCTCAACAGCTTTCTTGGTATTACATTTTTTTATTATTTCTTCTTCCTTCTTTGGTAGTGAATGTATTTATAAGAAGAAGGGAATCAAGTATGAACTTACTCGAGACAAGAGATTAGTGTGAGGTGGTTTGGTCAGGGTGTTTCTCATGGAACAAGCTGAATTGATTGATGAGTTCCAAGATGTCTATCTTAATCATATTGGGATTGCCAATCTCCAGCCAGGAAGAGGAGGAAAAACAGGAACTGTGGGAAAAAGGGAGTTGGAGGCTCCATTCATGAAACATTGATCAAGAGCTTGATGATGACCATTAGTAAGGAGAACAAAATCCTTGATAGAGGCGCTCATAGCCCAGCGCAATGATCTAGTCTTAGTTAAATCCTAGCCCAGAAATTAAACTGCATACATAAATAGCTATCAAAAAATAAAAAAAATCTGATACCAGAAATCCCATATTCCTCCCGTATCAGTATCATCACATGATACCAATAAACACAAATACCATGTATTGCCCACTAGATACGATACATGGTATCGCATTTGAGACCAAATGCAAGAAGTGTCTCTCTCAAAATTGGTATCAGAAAAAAAATACGATACTCAGTATTGGTGATACATGTATCGTATCGTATCTGTGGCAGCGTTGATTGGAGGTCTTCCCATGGGAAAGTTGTAATGCAAAGTGGCTTAAAAATAAGTTTGGACTTTACTCCTCCCAAAAATAGCATTTTTACAACTTTATTCCAAGAATTGAGACACCAATACTCCAAGATCAAAAAAAAGAAACTTGGCCAGGTATTTGGAGGTCTTCCTGTGAGAAAGTTGTGATTTAAAGTGGCTTAAAAAATAGTTTGAACTTTAACCTTCCCAACGATGTCATATTTATTTAGGGCCTTAATAAAAAAACCCGCATTTTCCGCGTTTTGACGCGCTTTTGCTGCGGCACAGCACACACACAATCCGTGTTTAAACGCGCTTTTTTAATTAATTTTTTTTGCCATTAATTTTTTTTTTTTTTTTTTTTTTTTTAAAATTGTTTCCTACACCAAAAAACGTGTAGAATTTAATGGTAAAGTCCATTTTGCCTAAAAATAACTTTTGATTCTTAATTTTTTTTTTTCACTCATTTTTCAATTAATTGTTTGCATGCATGTATGTACTTTATTTTTTATGTTTTTTTGAGATTTTAAAATTATTTCCTAGGTTTCAAAACATGCAAAATTTA